GAACCCGACAAAATGTCTCTTGATCGTATCTTTTGTCGACGGAAATCAGCCGCATGCGTCGCCAACGGTATTGAATCTTGATTTTCACTGAAAATTCATAATACGTATTTTTCAACAGCACTCACAAAAATCGGAATCAAAGCTTCGATTCGAAGCAAACGTTTACTTTCAATCAGCCGAAACCTGATAGCTCAATGTAAACAGTGACTGTTGAATCGGTGTTGTCTATTTCAGAAATCAGCAACAATGAGACATACCACAGAAAGCAATGAATGGGCGGGTGAGCGTGGAAATTTGCATCGCCAGTGTTTGTATTGATTATTTTCCAGCAAAAATCGATCGCAGAGATAAAAATTTAAATGCGACAGCCTTTTATTAGAGTGGAACGTGTTTTACAAGCGTGCAACACTGTTCAGTGGTTGCGATCATAGTAACGTGGCTAACCCTGACAAAGAGTGTGTTTTTTAAACGAAGGGCTTTCGTGTCTCTCCTCTGCAAAATAGTTTGCAAATGGCCTCGATCTTCAGAAATATCACATGGCACATGTAAGCAGTCTATGAAATGAGAGACTCTCATAAAACTCCAATTACAGTAGTACAGAGTTCGTTTAACAAAGATTCTCGAAATACCAACATGTACAGCAACATTCAAATTTATAGAGCTTTCTAGGTCTACCTCGATCGATCTGTACTTTTCTTTTCCAAATTACTACGATCAACTGCGATCGATATCAAGGTCTCGGTAGTACCCACTGTTAATGTGGGTTACAAATAGGGTGAAATTACAAGGAATTTAACGAAAAACTGTCATTGGAACGTTCGCTGACATAAGCATTACTTCAAACTGAAAACACATGCTAGGCACAAAGAAGCAAGCCGCCAGGCGGCTAGATGCAACATTGACTTTAAAACAATTCTAATTCAGGTCTCAATTTTCCCGACTTGGATAAATTACCCCTTACCTAGGATTCGCGTTTCTTATCGATTGTCATTCAACAGATTTTCCTTTACCCAAACGTGTTGTATTCGAAGAAGTGATCGTTCGATTTCCACGTTTTCTGTAGAGCTCCCCTAAAGGCTTCTCGTCACGCACGAATACTAGTGACATTTCAAACATTTGAAGCTTCCCTACTTCAGAAAATCCATATCGATTGGAGCTTAATACAGCCCTTGGGCAAAAGAATACCTCGGTGTTTGTGATTTGGTTTGGAGACGGTCCGATCTATGAAAAAATATTTATACTCTATGCTTACCTTCATAACGTCTGCATCTCGCTCTTCCATCTTTGTCGAGAGCGGTTCGAGTCGATGGCGACTCACTTCGAGCAGATCGGTGCTTGCCGCATCAAGCGGATGTTTCACATCGACAGACATGGTTCAAACGCTTTGATCGACCGCACAATTCCCTGAAATTTATCAAATACGCGGGCGAAACAAGCAAGGTAAGAATCGAATCTACGATCAAAAGCAGTGAGAGACGCCCTAAAAACTGGGCCGGACTCGCTCGCTTGATATTCAATATTCCTGCATAAATTATAGAGTCCATTTACTGAATTCTCTAAGGACCAATCAGCGATCGATAATGGTCACGTAAAAAAACTGATCGTTCGTCCAGAACATTCATTCGTTCTCTACCAATCACACGCAAGAATCTCAAAACGCGGGACAGAAATTGTTAGAAGGAATTATTTTTCCTTCGGCATAGATAAAGTAATGGGAGTTTTCTTGTTCAGCATAATAACAACATACTTTTTTCCTCCACTGCATACTGACTATAATTATCAACGAAGAACTATAATCTATATAAACCATGCGATTTATTTCTTGGAATTTTGACACTACCAGTATTTTGAGACACCATACTTCAGTCCATTCAAAAACTGTTTCCGTGAGATAAAATTAAAATATGGACACAATCGTTTCTAATCTTCTCGAGCAATTTGCCGTAACAAACGCTCCCTCTTCCCCCCCTCCCATTTCTTAGATACTCTTAATATAGCAGTTTTTAATCCCATTACCATTACTATTTTTTATTTTCTTTTTTTACGAAAATCAGCTTTGATAATAGCTGCAAATGAAGAGAGCCTCGTGCTTTTTCATGTTTTGTGCGGCTTAAATACCCCCTTTCATTTGTTTTTTAATGGCAACATATAAACTAATTCTCATGTCATTCGAAGACACTCTATCCGGGGTTTGGTTACTTCATGAAATTACCTCAAAATGTAGTCTCCACCAAAATTTCATACATCCATACCTTTCAATGACAGTTGTGATTCATGTTAATCAGGAAGTTGTTTGCTATTGGATCAAAAAAAAAAATCTCACAGCAGTAAGGACAACAGGTGGGCAGGGATCTTCCCTAAGGGCATAGCCTGGGGGGTGGGTCCTAAGGTACTTGTGACCAACTCTTTGAAAGCCTTTTTTTGTCATCTGTCATATAAAGTAAAACACGTGCATGTGCGCGGAGGACAGAATGACAATCTGGTGAGTACCCTCTGTTTGACACAAAGTGACCCCCCCCCCCTTTGAAAAATGCTGGCTACCCCTGTTCCCCTCACTTCCCCTGTTAGTCTCGTATTCAGACCTTTCACGGTCAAATGGTTCAGTTAAAGTTGCATGGTAGGATCTGGGTATGAGATTGTTTGAGTATGCCTAACTTATCCTTTAATTTTATAATTAATTAATAGCGGAGCTTGCGTAACTCCATAATTATACAAAATAGTAGTAACCCATCAAGCCGAAAAATTTGGATGTACGACCGTACGACCGACCGTACAAGGTGCTACTTGTAGCATGCGCGGCCAACTGTACCACGGGCACTATCTTATAATCAGTCCTCTACACGGACACGGAGAAGTTGCAAATGAAAATTCATTAATATTACTACGCACTTTATCCATAGTAAGTCTTAGTGTGGCAGCAAAAACACCATTTTTTTTGTTTTTGTTTTTGTTCGGTTGTTGTTGTTTTTTTTTTGTGCTCTTCCCGAGTTATTTGCTGGTTGGTTCCTGAGGGTTAGAAATATGCCAGCCTAATGATCATGAGTGTGATGGACCCAGTTGTTCAAAGCTGCCCAGATAAGTGCTAACCCAGGGTTAAATTTAAATAGCAGCTTCTTTAATCCTTTTTTCCAAGAGCATCAAATAATCAAATTATGGTCAAAAAGAATTATACTGATTTTTCTTTTAAAACTTTCAGATCTGAAATCAAATTTCACACTAACCCTGGGTTATCTCAACCTATCTTTGAACAACTGAGCACTGGACTCCCCATATAAAAGATCAGGCTGCAATTCCTGTTCAGGGTCATTAAATGTTCATAAGCAAGACACTATACACTCACAGTTTCAAAGTTCCTCTCCCCATACAGGAGTGTACAAGGGTGCCAGTAAGCTATCAGAGAGACCTGACAAAATGCTAATGGAGGGGGGGTGGTGTGGGGAACTGTGATGGTCTGATATCCCCTCAGGGGAAGTGAAAATGCTCATAGTAACTTAATGTCATGGAAACCAGGATAAGCTCTGCTTAGAAATGCCATTACCCTTTAACAATCAAGATGTGAATGTTGATTCTCCCTTCTAGCTGCTACACATTTCCTTGTAAATTAGTTATGAGAAATTTGTGTTAACTCAAGATAGAAACCTCTACCAGAGAAGTTTAATAATTCTCACTCTCTGTTTGCTTGAAAATGTATGAATATTGTATTGAGAAGTTACATGTTAATACTTCTAAAAGGTAAAGGGTTAAGCTCATGGCAAACTTAACCCAACTAAAGGCGATAAATGCTATTGACAAGAATTTTTAACCCTTTAACTCCCACGATCTGATTGTTAATTCTCCCCTCTAGCTGCTACACATTTCCTTGTAAATTAGTTATGAGAACTTGGTGCTAGATCAAGATAGCAGCTTCTACCTGATAAGTTTGAATATTCTCATTACCTGTTGCTGAAGAATGTATGGATATTGTAAGGAGAAGTTTTATGTTAATCACTTCTGGGAGTTAAAGGGTTAAAAAAAATCAGGCATTTTTGTATAACATTTATCAGCACACATCTTATCCATACAATGGCTCTATACTGCCATTTACAACTACCATTAACTTTTTAGTTGAAGGTGTTTTTAAGAACATTTGATCTCTTCACACTTAATAGAAATCAAAATAAAACATTTTTTATATCATACACAGTCAAAGAGCTGGGTCAGGTTTTTTACATCTTAAGAAATTTCACCTTTTCACTTTTCAAGTTGCTGCATCATTTTCAGTCCATATCAACCTTCTCAACCCTAGCTATCCAAGAACCCTCTTGGCTTACAATTTTCTCTTTAGGGTATTTTTCCTTTTTTAACCAAACTTAGCCCAATATTTCACGGGCTTCTTTTAACCCTGTAAGTTCCACTAGTGACCTAGACAGAATTTCTCCTTACACTAGCGATACAATATCATGCAGACAAGTAATGAGAATAAAGAAAAATATAAATAAGGGGATTATTGTTTGATCCAATTCCAAATTCTCCAAGCTAAAATCACATGAATTGTGTAGCAGACAGTAAGGAGAATCACTAATGAGATCTTGGGTGTTAAAAGGTTAAGTTGAAGGTAGTTTTAGCAAGTGCATTGAATTTAAGCAGACCCTCCTCATTGGAGCCTCACGTTTTGCCAGCTCACCATTTACAAGGGTTCATACTTTCTGGTGGGCAAAGAAATACTTGTACTAACGCACCAATAATAAAAGGCAGTTCAATGACTACCAAGTGCAAATATTCACTCAGAGAATCATGACACAGCTCCCTTGAAGTGTTTTTCTCTGGTTCCCAGAGTTTTCATTGAAAAATAAAGTGGCAAGGGAAGAGGGCAAAATATGGAGAATTTCCTCCAGGTCTGACAAAAATAAATTGCCCAGTAAATAAAAAATTTGCAGAGGAATTTGGATTAAAATAGAATGTATAGCCATTGCAATAAACAAACTGGAATGGTAGACTGATCATTTTTTCTTTATTGATGTTTATATCTATTCCAATTTCTCAAAAATATGCCACATATTAAATACATTTAGAGATTTATACTTCTCTTTAGAAAATTTTCAAAATCTTAATATACATTGAAAGGTTACAAATGAGAAGAGCACCTGTTGCCAAAGAGTAACACTCCATGCAATCATCAAAAAGAAAAAAACACTCATTTTATCATTACAATTTTTTCTCTGTAGTAAAACATGACAAGGAGGGGCCACTGATGATGATCACAGGAAAATAATACCTGTCAGTCACTGACAAGGTTGATGGAGAAGATGGTAAGCGAATGAAATGTGAGTTAACTAGGAACTCACTTGCCCATTTCAAAATTTTAGCATTTATTTGCTGTATAATCTTTTGGGTTTACATTAAAGATTATAAACAGTCTATAAAAAATACTTTGTGACATTCACCCCCTGAAAAAATATCCTCAGGACATGGCATCTCAAAGCCACTTGGAGTTTGTTTGTCCCTTCCCCCACAAAGAGTGAGAAACTAAAAACAAAAAGCAGCTTAACTGGTGAAAATAAAGTGATTTCATTCGTAAAATACATTCCTAACTTTTAATAGGGGATCAACTCTTAATCTTTGACTTTTTTTTCAGTTTTGATGGGTTTGGATATTGAGGATTTTCAATAACACCTTTACCAAACTTGAATTCCAGAAATTCTCTGACATTGTTTGGAGCAGATGCTTTCATTCCAATGAAATCAATTGTTCCTAGAGGCTTCAAATAATGAGCAGGAAATTCCCTATCTTGTCTGTGAGTTTCAAACCAGGTTTTCTTGGTCATGGTGCCATCTTTTTCATAGAATGGGAAAATGTCCACATGTAAGTGATTATACTGACTAAACTGGATTCGAAAAAATTCTCCTTCAGCAGCTTTTTCCCAAGTGTAGCCTTCACTGTCAACATATGTTTTTCCAGAATTTGAGAGCTTTTCTGCTTCGACCAGATATGAGCATTTGTTGATTTCATGCTGATAAATACCAATATCTACATCATAATCCCATGGAATGATGTCACCATATCGAGCAGCACCCAACAAACTACCTCCCTCCAACCAATAACTTACACCTGCTTCATTGAGGATGTTGAAAAGATAACGTGCAGTTTGACGCAGATTTTCCAAACAACAGGGTGGTGTCCATCTTGACATATAAAGATATTCAGGCATATCATCAAAAACAGTGCCAAAGCACCGTCCTGTATTCTTGCCACAGCCATACCACTCCATTTCTCCTGATGGAAGAACAACTTTCTTGACCCCTAGTTTTCTGTACATGTCATTTCTTCTTGTTTTGAAATTATTCTCATATTTCCATTTTGTGTGAGCATTTGAAAAGAGCATGGATCCTTGTGAGAAAGAAACCTTGTGGAGAAGTTTTGTTTTTATATGGTGCAGCGAAGCTTGAATGAAGAGACTTTCAGGAAAAGGTCGTAAGTATGGTGCACTAAGGCTGTGAAGGAATGCAGCTTTTACCAAAACCACTTGACTGGGGCCAACAGAATCACAAGTTCGGTAATAGCTCTGTGCTTCATCTTCGGAAATCGAGTACTCTAATGTCCAACGTTTAAGGTCAAATGAAAGTTTGTTGCACTGTATAGTTTCTTTTGATATCACTGGCACTGTAACAATTTTATATTGAGGTTTCACACCAGCCAAAGCTTTAAGCTCTTCAAGCATCATAACTGGCAAACTTGAAGAGCTGAATCGGACACTATCTGGCATGAACATGACGTATGGCGTTGTGATATAATTCTCGGGTCTTCCAGCCGATTGCTTTTGATCGGGGGACAAGTCTTGCACAACCAATTGAATTTTGCCATTCGGAATATCTAATGGCGGATACGGTCGTTTAAGTGATATCAGCACAATATGAACGTTTGGGAAGTACTCCAAAATGGAACGAATTGTTCGACTAATGTCATTCTCAAAGTTTTCAAACTCCAACAAGACAATAGTCACTTCATTTTCAAATTGCGTAGCTTTGTTTCCCAGAAAGGAAATTTTCTCCTTAATTGCCTTTAATTTGCTTTGTTCTAGCCACTCCCCGTTTGTGTTTTGTACATGAGAAATGTAGAATAAGATGACACAATTGCAAGCTATTGCACATACCAATAGCACTTGGCATTTGTTGATCCGTGGCATGGAACGTTCGATCGCTCGCGTGCGAATCGTTGTGAGTTTCTGTCCTTGAGAATTTGAGTCAATGCTACGCATAAGCACCTTACTTCCCTTGTAAACATGAATATCTCAAGTATTGTATTGTCGGCTTCTGTGTAAATATTGATTAGATTAAAATTATCCGAACATAAACAATATTTTGGGTGCCTTCCTACGCCGCAGGAGACATCTAACTTGAAATGTACGAGGCATTGCTCAAAGACGTGTGGGGACTGAGTACCATATCTCTAAGAACTTGCTCCCAGTCGTTCGCGTTCTGAGGAACTGGCCAATCAAGAGTAAGCGGTCCATTTCAAACTTCAGCTGTGGGTGATCAAACGTTCGATGAAGTGCGACTACCGCCATTAGACGCAGTGAGCGGTTTGTTTTGAACAGAAAGAGCTTGAAACTGCATAAAAAAGAGATCTAATCAGGACCAGTAATTGGGTTGTAAGCCTGTCAGTATTGTGTGTCACGATGGCTGTAACTTTTGACGCAAATGAGCTTGAGGGAATGAAGCGCGCTGAGCTTCAAAAGCTCTGTAAGAGCGTGGGAATTAGAGCCAACAGCAAGGTAAGCGTGCAAGCATGCAACATTTATTGTGTTCTGGAAATTGACCTAAAGACAATTACGCACGCAGTTCCTCTCAGTTTCAAATAATATGCAGCATGCGACATAAAAGATTGATGGTCCAATTATGCAGGCAAAATTACGGGGCCGCAAATTTTCCACTGAAGCGTTGAACTGATGACAATTTGTGGAGGTGTCTACCTCTTGATCACTTGAATATTGAAGAATGATGTTTTCCTTTTTGAACCAAATATATATTTTGACGTTTTGACTCCTGAACTCGATCATTAAAGAGGTTTTTAATTATATTATATGTGAGCTTTTCCTTTAACAAATCTGTCAAGACGAGACACCTGTTTATGAAGAGAGATTGCTTTCTGTCTTTCTGCGTCGAGTAACACAATTTGAAATTATAATTCTGGATGACTGTTTTGTCCGTTTTGCGTGCTATTCTCCATATAACAGACCTAAAAAATTAATATGTTCATTCATTTGTGATAATACGGTGAATTTCTCAATACTAAGATCACACAGAGTCATATTGCTCGCAACTTTTGTCACTTATTAACATCGTGCAAAACATTTCAGACTTCTCAGCTTATTGAAGAACTAAAGATATATGCATTAAAGATTACTGGCGCAGCAGAAGAGTAAGTAGATGTTCTCTGAGATATAATTATTTGCATGCTCTCAAAGTGATGGAATGAATCATTTTTAGGAAACCAGATTGTAAGGGGGGGAAAAAACTCTAATTTGTGAAGACGGTCTGTTTTGAAGTGTTTTACAGAGGCTGAGCTAATGATTTTCTCCCTTTGTAGTTCTTTAGTTGAGCAAGGAAAAGAATTACAAACAGCTGACTGCACCAAGATAGAAGAAGCAGCTAAAGATCCAGAAACAACAGATTTCAATCATGAAAGTGATAATGATGATGACAGCTACAAGAGAGAGCTAATGGATCAACTTGATAAGAAAGTTGAGGAAAAAAGTAAGCCTAACATTGAAACATCCACAGTCTGTACAGTTCATGTTCCAAATCAACAGACACCCAGGTTAAATTGAAGAGGATAATTATATTTTGGTGCTTGCAGCTGACTGCTAAGAAAGAGTCTGATAATAAATCTTGGTTGATGAAAAAGAAAAAAAATTTGGTGAGCTGGTCTCAGCAGGGCGTGAAATTGCGCCTAATACAGGCACCAATGCGACTAAATTTTTCACTTTGGCAACCAAATCCTGAAAGTTAGTCGCCAAATTGGCAACTAGAACGTTTCATCATAACCTTACCAAGAGAGTCTATCTAGAACGCTGACAGTGTAAAGAAAGATTTTGTTTGTCTTTGAAAATGGCGACCAACTTTTTTTGAATTGGCTACCACTTTGAAGAATTTAGGAGCCAAGTGGCTATCAGAAAAAAAGTTAATTTCACGCCCTGCTCAGGCTGGTCTTTTGTAAGCTGTTTGCTTACAGAACTACTTGTTACAAGAGTTTTGACAGCACATGACTGTACGCAACTTTGCACCTTAAATCAATGGCATAATATTTTTAATTTGTATATATCCTAAACTGGTATTATCATGATTTGCAATTATAGAAAGATTTCATTTAAGTTTATTAGGATATAATAAATAAGTGAATCATACCAGGAGAAGCTGAGTTACTGACTACATTTCACAGTGTTATAGTAGATTGCCTTCTTGTGACCATTATATGATTTAATCTGCAAAATCATGAATTTGAAAAGAATCAGAGCTAAGAGTGCTGCATCGTTATGTCATAAATTTTGTTATGAGTGAACCTTTTTCTATAACATTTTAGTGCCTGCAGAATGTAAAATCCCCCGATTTGTTCAGTTCCTCGGTAAGGAGTCAGCAGCAGAAACAAATAAAACTCCAGGTGAGCTTCCTGGTTTCAATAAAAACAAACCTTTTTTCAGCTTTGAACTTCTTTTCACTGGATGTTGTTCATAATTCTGAATGAGTTGATACATGTTTATAACAAGCATTCAATTTGATGAAAAAATTTCCAATACTTTGTTTTTATGTTGTTAGCTAATAAATGGAACAAGATTCACAAGCAACAGTTTGAAAAGTAAGTGATAGAAAGATGTTCAGTGATCTAATATAAGAAAATTGTAACAAGAATAACCTGCAATTGGTAACAAAATTGTTGACACATTGACCTCTTCAACCCCCTCTTACTTTAATTTTATCTCTCATGCCCTTGCTGAGTAAACCTATTTGCCCCCCCTCCCTCCCCCCCCAAAAAAACAACAGCAACAACAAAAACAAAAACAACAAAACAATATTGTATCATGATTCTATAAACTTTTTTCTACATACTGACAACATTGAGTAAGGGTGAGGGGGTCTTGTGAATGATTTTGAGTGTGGTAGAAACAGGAATGTTATTCTACACATAAATAGAACTCTTCAAACATGATGCAGGGCTAAAAATTGGCAATGGCACAGTCACCAGTGGCGAGTTAAAACTGACCAGGGCCACCAAAAGTTAAGGTTTGAACACCCGATGTGCGACTACACCACAGAATTTCGAAAAGTTGCAATGTAAATTATGCGGAGTACAAAGTTAAAAATAAAACTCAATATGTGGTTTAATTGGACTACCTTTCTCTTTATTACTTTGCCTGGACTCTAAGATCATCCATTTTAGTAAATTTTTAGTTCTGAAGTGGAAATTCCAAGCTGTTTTAACAATGATTTCACGAGCTTGTTCTTTCCTTTTAGTTAACACTCCATTAAAAGACATGGGTTGTTTATTCAAGTTTTTCATTTTAAACTAGAGGAAATTGAGGGCTACTTCATCTTGGGATGGGCCACTAAGAATTCAAGGAAACTGGCCCAACTGGCCACCATAGACTGGAGTTAATTTTTAGCCCTAATAATGTGCCAGTTAATTTTGATGCTGGTTGTAGTAACAAGCTCTTGGTCAGTTGAGAAAGAAAACATGCACACAGACACTGGTGGACTTTGCTAGTTACTCTGAAGGTAAGAAATTACACTTTTTACATTAAGATAAATTTCTTTTTTCTTTTCAGGATGGATTCAATTGATGTATATTTGGAGAAGAAAAGGAAAAGAATGGAGGGTTTTAATCAGTCAGTCAAGAAAGCTAAGGTAAAGCAACTGACCAAGTTACATCACAAATAAAAGGCTATCTGCATTATATTAGTCTTCAGTTCTAATAAGTTCACTTTGTTTCTTATTTAGATTGTGGTAGATGGTTGCAAGAAGGAGAAGGAAAATAGGAAATCCTCAGCAAGAAAAGTAAGAGGAAATTTTGAAATTTTTTCAAATATAGTTTTATAGCCGTCAAGAGTTGATGCAATTACTTATTAGAATGGATGTAACCTTTTCAAAATTGAGGGCTGGGTTGTTCAGAACTTGTTTAAGATAACCCAGGGTAAGCATGAAATTTAAATTTCAGATCTGAAAGCTACAGAAAATTCAGTTGTAAATTATTTGTGACTACAATAATTGTGATGATTGGATTCTCTGCAAAGAGTTGGGAAAATTGTTCCAAAAGGCCCTTGAATAGAGAAATAGAGAAATATAGAAACCTGGACTGAAATTTAATCCTGGTTTAGTGCTAATTGGCCTTTGAACAACTGGGTCCAGGAACTTAACCCCTTAATTCCCAGAAGTGATTAACAAGTAAATTTCTCCCTACCATTCATTATCCTGCAAACAGGTAATGAGAATACTCAAGTGTATCAGTTGTTATCTTGATCTAACACCAAATTCCCATAACTTATTTACAAGGAAATGTGTAACAGCTAGAAGGGAGAAAAGACAATCAGTGACCAGTTGTTCGAAGGCCAGTTAGTGCTAACCCAGGGTTAAGTTTGGGTTACTTTATTCCCTTCTTCAAAGGCCTATTTCAGATAATTTCTTCAATTCATTTTAGAACATCCGGGCATCAAATTGTAGGCAAAAATATACTAAATATGCCTTTAAAGCTTTCAGATCTGAGGTCAGATTTCACGCTAACCCTGGGTTATCTTAACCTAGCTATAAACAACTTTGCACAGATCTTCAGAGTTCAAGGGTCAACTGCCAGCCCTAAACCCTTTGACCCCTAAGAATAGCTGGTATCAAATTTCTCCTTGTACTATCATCCCCTAATTCAAACATTATGGTCATGGGAATAAAGGAATCAATCAACAACTAAACATTGTAGCTCTCCTTGTCAGCACCTTTGGAAATGTTTAGGAAATGGTATGGAGAATATGCATACTGATGTGAAGGGGAAAGAGTTAAAACCCTTTAACTCCCAAGATCTCATTCATAATTCTCCTTACTGTCAGCCATATAGCTCTTCTGATGTTAGTTTGGAGAATTTGGTATTGGATCAATTAATAATCCCCTAATCAATATTTTTCTTTATTCTCATCACTTGTCTGCTTGATATTGTATAGATTATTGTAAGGTAAAATTCTGTCTTGGTCACTCATGGGAGCTAAAGGGTTAAATAGCCTTTATAACCATGTTACTTCAAATGTAATGATATTCTAAATAGTGTTATAGTTAATCAATAGTAGATTGTCTAGTCATAAATGTATATAATATGTGTTGTTTTCTTATTTGCAGTCCACTGAAATAAAAAGGAAAAATCATGGCAAACCAGCTGAAGTTACATTCAAGCCAATTGTTACAACTATCAATAAATCATCTACATTTGTTTTTGGTTCTCCTGCTCCAAAACCATTCTTCCAGCCTGCTAACAAAATTGCCACAAAAAGTGAGAAACTCAGATTGAAATCACCCAAAGTTTTCAAGCCTATCGCTTCTGGATCTGCTTCAAACATTGAAAAGCCCAAGACTCCTTTAGTGCGGAAATCCCTTCCTGCAACAGCCAGGAAGGAAGACAAATCAAAAACACCAGCAAATCCATCCCGCAAGTCAATTGCTGTGACACCTTTCAGGTAAGATTTTGCCTCAAGCATTTCAAGCTTTTTTCGCCTTATGGAAATTTATTTTGTTTCAACTGCAGATAGAACTATTTAGTCAACAAAAGGGACTCATCTGGATCAAGTTTGTAGTCTTTTGGGTCACAGCATATACAAACAAAACTTTGAAGTCTTTTTAGACATTCTTGTTACAAGCATATATTTTGACTTCTGTTGGAACCTGTACCACTATAATCTTAAAGACTTAGAATCTTGTAATAACAACTTTTCTTTTTTTTTTTTTGTCCTCAGATTTTTGCCAGCCAATGCACTAAATGTCACAACACCAACCCCAAGAAAAAAATTTGATCTCAAAGCAAGCTTGGCCAAACCCTTATCCTACAAGCCACACACTGGAAAATTGAAACCTATTTCTTCATACCAGGAGGAAGTAAGGCCTACCATGAGCCATGCTAAAGTGAAGAATCATAAAGTGGATGTCAAAAGTGTGAAAGTCACATCAAGGTAAGGACTTCAACCACAGAGTAGCAGTCCTGCACATTTACAAATTATCTGTTTAGCTCTTAGTGAACAAACTTCAGCCACCATTATGTGTCAAAAGTCCTCAAAAGAGTAACTTTTCACTCCCACAAGTGACCACAATTTATAGTATTTCTCCTTACTATGCCTATACAATATCAAGCAGAAATATGATGAGAATAAAGAAACATATCACTTTGAGGATTTTTAGTTGATTTAATACTAAATTCTTCAAACTGACATTACCAGAATTGTACTACAGGTAGTAAGGAGAATTAATAAATGAGATCTTGGGAATGATAGGGTTTAAAAGTGAGTGATTTTAACAGTTGTAACACATAGTAAATTAATCCCAATAAACTGGTTATTATTACTGGTAAATTAGTATTTTCCTTTGTTGAAATTTTTTTTTTTTAGGGAACAACGGCGTAAGAAAGAGAACAAGAGCAGAGTTGACAGAAGAGCTAATAACTTGAGTAGGAGGAGAGGACTTGCTTGCTGATGAGACTGCACCAGACTTCATGCAAGTCTTTTCAGGATGCCACAATTACATATGTTAAAGTACATTTAAAAGACACACACTCGTGCCGCACACCTTTTTCACACTGACAGCTGCCTGCATGATTACAGTAACGTCACATTTAACTATAAAACATGTATATACACTGTATTTTGAAGAGGTCCTACCCAAGAAGCATTCTGACAGGAAGTTTACTCTTGTATAGACTTGTATTTTAAACAGTTTTGAATTGTCCATTTTGTGATGAGTCTTTTTCCTGTGAGGTAAAGCTATTCTAGGTTGTATATGGTTATATTCATTTCTCTTTTAGCCTGGTTCAATTAAATGTTTATATTTTCAGTGAATTGATCCCATTTTAACATTTGGAACCTTGTGTAAACCTAGTGTACCTGCAAGGTAATAGGTAAGACCTTGTAAATAGAAAAAAAAAAAGCAATTTTGGTTACTTTGACAAAATAAATGAAAGAAGAAAATTATCATTTTTGAGCAGATTTATTGGTTTTACTGACAGGAGCCCAGAGTATGCAAAAAGAGGATTTGGAAAGGTTGCTCTTATCTTGAACTGCCTTTCTTTTTTCTCTCTTTTTTTTCCTTTTGGTTTAAATTTTTTTTTGCTCTATGCCAGTATAATTGTGCCCTACAGTTGATTTTACAATTGTTTACTTGGTTGCCAAGCCTTTCAACAGGAGTGAGGCTAAGGGTGACCTTGTTATGATAAAAACCTTGCTGCTTTTCAAATGAACATTGCCTTGTTATTATGCTAACTACACACTGGTCTCTATCACAACATGGTCAACTTCAGCCTCACTCCAGATCAAAGGCTTGGCAACTAAGAACACAACTGTAAGATGGCCTATTGCTCAACATTTGGTGTTGGTTGTATCTAAAGTTGCTCATCCTTGGTTGAACACCAAGAGCTTTTTAAGCAAGACCTGTTCAATAGTGAAGACAACACTATTCATAATACTTTTCCAAACATCTCAAATATGTGCCAGTTGGCCCACTAATGTTAAGGAAATTCCTATGTTAATGAGATGGAACATCAGAGCCAAAAAATGCACATTCGTTTGAAGTGACAGTGACAGTCTTTCCTACCAAAACAGAAAAGTACATGCCATAACCTTCTTCCATCTTAACCCTGGCCAAAAAAATGTACTGCTTTTCAATTTTTCAGAAATTTTGTCATTTTAGTCTTACTAGTGTTGGCTTTGGTTTCACTCATGAACCTACTTAAGTTCTGAACATTCCTGCAAATTTGTCATCTCTGTGGAACCCATTTATTTTTGGTGCCCCATTTTAGATGGTGTCTCACATATTCAGACATTAATATTTTGCCAGAGTAACAAGGGATACCCCTTCCCCTCCAAGTTATCTACTGTCTTCTCTACCTTCCATTTAAAAATTTATTTAACCCTTTACACCCTCATGTCAATATGCATATTCTCCATACTCTTCTTCATACATTTTCTAAGATTCTGACGAGAAGAATTTGTTTAACAATCAAAAGCTGCTTTAGTAAGTAACCATTTCCTGTACTGTTGGGTTCTTAATATGTGATTCAGGGATGATATTGTGAGGAGAAATTAGATACTGGTCACTCTTCAGGCTTAAAAGATGAATAATTGGCTCTCTTCTGTTCTTCCTAGTTTTTTTTAATGAAATTGGTTAATTGCACCACAGCACAAGAATTACCAACTTAGAATATTCTAAACTTCTGTTAATTTCTCTGCTGACTTTCCTTGTTTGTTTGTTTGTTGTTAGTTAAACTGCAGGTAGTCTCTAAAAAAAAATCTGGCATAGCACTGTGCATGAATCATGTCTTTATTTCAAACTCTGTAAAGCAATAATATTTTGAGTAGAGGTTATACGCCTTAGGTAGCTAGCTTTGTTGTTTCCCAATCAAAATCATATATTGTAAATTGGCATTTAGAAGAAATAAATAAAAAATCATACTTTGAAAGTACCCATGACAGACGAAATTTGGAAAATTCAAGTTGACTCGTTTCATTTTGACACAAAAGCAAAATGTTGGAATTATCTCCAAGTGCAACACCAAATTCTAGATCCAACTTAAGAGACCTGTATCAGAATTTGTATGATGAAGTTTGAGATGACCCTATGAGAATTTCGAATGTATTAATCACAGTGATGGCAAAAGAAACATCTGAAGCGGACATCCACTCAAAAGAACAACTGCAACAGTGATATTGTCATGGCTACCAGCCAGGATAGAACCTTCCACCAGCCGTTCACTCAGGGCCTTGGCAAGCGCCGAAGCCTTTTCTTCTCGCAAGACCTTTGCAGTTCGTGATCTGGCAGAGGGGGAAGGCAGTAACTCAGTAGAATTTGTCGCATTTTTATTTTCATCCATTTCTATGTCCATTTTTTGGAATCTCTCTATGGAATTATCATTTTCTTCGTCACTTGCTATGTTTTCTAGTGAACTTTGATCAGTAGTCTGTATCAGTGACATGTCACTGTCTCCCTCAGTATCTGCTGCGCCCTTGTTACGTCTGGGAATTTCATTCCACTTTGGGACAGGCAGTCCCACCTCAAGTGCAGAAGCTCTCTCTTGCATTCTCTTTACAATGGCCCTTACATCAATATCTGGTATAAGATCCTCCATAAGAAGAATGACCTCTTCCTCACTGAAAACTTGCCAAACCCCATCTGACGCAAGAATAAGAAACTGGTCGGTGTCCTCCAAAGTAAGGCAATTGACCACTGGTGTTCTAATCACGCTAGTTTTCAGAATGGGATCTCCATGATTTCCGAGACCTCGGGTGCTTCTAACCACACCATTAACCAAGGCTGTTTTATCGCTTTTAGTTACGTCTCCTTTAGCTTTCCTTATGCGATGACGCTCTTTTTTATCCCAGGGACTGTGATCGTTGGATAAGCGTTCTATCGAGCCATCCCCCCTGCACAAAACCGCTCGGATGTTCCCGGCATTGGCCACATACAAATTATTTCCCCTCAGCAAGCAAGTCAGAGCAGAACAACCACTCCAGCGATTTCTTGATTGTTCTTCTACACCGTATAGCAAAATTTTGTCCATCTCCTCGTATGCATCGTTAAAAGCGGCCGAGATTTCCGCGTCGACGTTTTTGTGTTTCATGCTTGTGTTGTAAATTCTTTCGACTTTCTCCTCAAGGATTTCACCCAAATAACGCGCGCATTTTTCAGCAGCCATACTTCCCGAATAACCATCATAAACAGCAAAGAACCCGCTCTGAGGATCGTTACAGAAAAGATCCTTAAACGCGAAACGATCTTCCATCGACGTTTTCCATCGCGAATTCGCATGTTGACAAATGCCGAACGCTGGCGCACAGTTGAGGACTGTTCCCCAACCTTCAGTTCTAGGCTGGATTTGGAAAAGATCGTCCTCGTTTCGAAGAGCTGTTTTTGTTCCTTCGATATCAGCCTTGAGGAGCTCATAAGCCTGGTTCAATTTCTGGAGTTTCCTCATGGAAACTGGATTTTCAGAGTTAGCTGTCTCGTTGAGTCGACGCATAATTGCTCGCCGTCGTTTGACTAATTGTTTGACACTCGAAGGTTTTCGTTCCATGTTGAATCGGAACATTTCCAAAGCGTTGTGAAATTCTTGATGTTCTTTTAGTTGGCGGACTTTAATTTCTTCTTCGCACTTCATACAGACGATGGATATTTCGGATTTTACAGGAATAACTGGAGGAATAACTGGAGGATTTACAATCGGTGGTAAGTGGAGCGACCGATCGCTATCTGAATTATTAAAATCGATCTCGCTGTTGTTTAGGTAACTTAATTTCACAACAGACTGAGAAAAACCACTCAGATTAATACTGTCGTCATGAAAATGGTTCTCCATCGTAAAAGAGCGCATATGATAGCTCTCATTTACAGCCGGCATCCCAACCAAGAGGCTCCATATTCCTGTTCACCAAGAGAGCAACTCATTACAACATCTTGTTAATTACAGTTGTCATAACAACAGTCAATTTTGACAAGTAGAACAGAAATGTAACGCAATCGACACAACGTAGCAACTGCTCGCGTTTCAAAACTTTTTTCAAGGTACAAGAGAATATAACAACAAACTGATTGCTAAAATATAATTTGTAACAGGTGTTGAGAATTATTAAACTCGCACATCTCATCTGTGCGGAGGAACTTGCGAAAGACTTCTTTGGAACCGTTTTGCAATGCCGTCACGCAGCACACAAACTAAAAGAAAAAATACAGTGGTGCGTGACGTGAACAATTGACGGCCAATGAAAAAATAGCAATAAAAATTACTTACCTGGCATGGAAGCTTACTTTTCCCACTCACGATCTTTTCTCCTTATTTGCAGCATGTAGAAAATAGGCCTCTGCCAGTGGAGAACTCTAAAACCAATTTTCCATAACTCATCTCATGTATATCCCAATAATTGGCCAAAAAGTAGGCCTCAGTGATTTGAATCGAGGTGCAATAAAAAAATTGAAGCTATAGAAATATATAATTGAATGATACAGTTTCAAAAAAAGTTGTACGGTGTTACTTGATGTTGATACAATTCAACATATGCTTCGGAAACTGAGATAAGCTCACACAGAATGAGCCACTAAGGTTGAATTGAGACTCAAACAACTTGCAGTGATTGAAACAATTAAGAAGCAAGGGCTGGTTATGTAATTCCATCCAACATGCTTATGTTTGCTCTGACATGACCCCATTTGGCACGTCAAATTTGGACAACTTTAAACTCTTGCAACAATGATCCCAGATTGCATAATGCTAAAATACTGAACTGGCCTTAAATCTTAACCTTCTTTTAAACATATCTTAAGTTTTACCTTCTTAAAAATGCTTTTAATCTGTTAGTTCATTAGTTTAGAATCCAAATTTTGTAAAATATTTATTTGTTATTAATGAGGTCTTTCTCTGTAGTTTTATCAACACCAATTACTTGTTTGTACATATTGGACTTTTATCTGTAATTCCCGTAAAAAGTGCATTTGATCATGCTTGCATACAATTTGCTCTATACAAATTTTAATCATTATAAATCATTATTTCTTACATACATATGCTAAAAGCTTCCTCTTTGAAAAGACCAACTCAATATTCCAGTGGGGTTTGCAATGAAAATTACAGTTTAATAGTTTTTCTCCTTTTCATAGTGAAGGTAGCCTCAATTTCAGAACATGGAATGCAAGATGGAACAACAAACTGCATTGGTTGAATCCTGCAAAATCAATTATTTGCTGACAATTGCTGCATTGCCTCTGTGACGAAATTTTTTTTGAACCCAAAATCTCAGGTGTTCTTTGACTTATCAGACACCAACATGCCACATTCCAGCAGCAGAAATTGATGCTATCAGGGAAAGTTGTGACAATCATCAGTACAGAATTTCAGCCTTGTTTCAAAGAAAATATTTTTTGAGATTGTAAAAAAGTTTGCTCGTGGTAATTTTTAAAAAGCACAATTGACTAGACAGCCCATCTAGCAATTATTATGCAAAGATTTCATTTCCTGCTCAATTCCCAATTCTGATTAGACATTGTCCATTGGCTGGCTATTAATTCAAGCCCTACACCTACATCTCTTTGAGCTGCCCCCCTGAAGAGTGAACCAAAGATTAATTCTACCCTGGCCAGACTAGCTGTGTACAGCCTCCCCCTACCCTCCAAAAGAAAATCAGGAGGGTAGGGGGTGGCTGTGCACAGGCTAGGCCTGACAGGCAAGAAATGATTGAGAGATTAGCAAGATTACTGATGTTCAGTATCCTCCTCCTGTTTAGGAACTTCTGCATGGGTCTTCTTTACATCCAAAAATTTCTTTAAGAAAATACAAACATTACAAAGCAAGACAAGAATTGCTCCACCAATACTTAATCCACTTGGAGCATCATCCAGGATAGTTATTTGAAAAATAAAGGAGTACGCAATTCCAATTGTACGCACCAATGAAACAACTGATGCTTTTTCCATAGATAAAGCCTTTGTTGCAAGTAACTGTCCGCAAAATCCACAAAATGCAGCCACAATGATGTAAATGGTATCATAGGAGCCACAGTCTGGGTATTTAAATCCTAAAGCCATTGATAAAGCAAGTGTCAAGACTGATCCAATAAGAAAGAAGTAAAATATCACTACCCTGATGCCCACTTCTTGCGACATTTTCCTTGTAACAGTGGCAGTAACAGCAGCACCAAGTGCAGCCAAAACAGCGAGAAGAGTAGGTATCCACGCTTGTATAGAGGTAGAGTGTTCTCCCTGAGATCCGAACAGAAAAGTAGGCCTTGCGATCAGCACCACCCCTCCTATACTCAGTATCATAGCTGCCACGTCAAACTTGCTAACGGACTCTTTGAGGAAGATCCGCGCAATGATAGCGGTATGAACAGGTGATGTGTAAAATATCACTCTAGCATCTGCAAGAGGCATGTGCTTTATTGCGTAAATACTCATTGTCATAGCTGTGACTCCGACCGTTCCCCGGAGGACTAAAAATTTGGTTTTACTCCACGGAAAAATGAAGTTGTCCTTGTAGAAAATCATTGTTGGGAGTACACAAGTTAACTGTATCGTCAAACGCATGAAAGAAACCTGTACGCTTGAGACGCTTTCGGCGAGCTTGACCATCAACGCACCTGATGTGAAAAAGAAAGCCGACGTCAGGGCTAAAATAATCCCGACAAAAGCCCGCAGCCTTTTCTTTGCAGGTGCCCTCTCTCTCGTAGTAATTTTGAAGCCGCCGCTATCTGAATCCTCGAGATGTTTTACAGCATGATTATCCCTCGTGTCTGAACTAAGGGAATTCCTATGGCCTGTTTCAAGTGTTTGTTCTGTTTCTTCCAGTAAAGTGTGATTGTCTTCGATTGGTTCCTGGAGGAAATCCTCCTGCAAAAGCAAGCCAAGGTCGTTTTCCACCAGGCGTTTGCGACCTTCCGCCTTCCTTCGAAATCTGTTAGTGATTGGAGCAAAAATTCTCGCTGTCATGTCTTAACGAGTAAGTTAATTATTCGGAAAACAGTTCGGTTTACTTCACAGCATTAAAGCCCTGGCAAGGCAAAATCAAGGGACATTTTGGTGATGAAACTTGCGATAACTTTCACTTGTTGATGATGTAACATTCGCCTCAGGTGACTTGCAGTTGACTGTGCTTTTTAACATCCGGGGCTCGGATAGAACGTCACGCAATTTCGTTAGCATTCTCCAGTTCTTTCCGACCCCCTCCCCTCCCCTCCCCTCCCCTCCCCACTGCAATTAGGCTCTTGTTGATTATGCTGGCATAATTTTTGGCATAACATTTGGAAAAACGAACATAATAATTGCACTTTTTTGTAAAAGTGACACTTCTAGCATTCAGTCAGCATATTTTATGTGTTTTTTTGAAGGGAATATTACCAGAGTAATGATTTGCTTGGTCTGCAAGATTAATCATTTTTAAGTTCGATCAATGGTTCAGCCCATTTTCAATGATGGGATGTCTTGGGAGCAGCAGGTTACTAAAATATTACGTATTGTCGTCAGCTATAGAAGACTGAGCACACCGGAAGTAAAGATTACGTCGGTCCCAGTATAACCGCAAATGGAAGGAGAGTGTTGTGTTTTATTAGAGCTCCGTGTATCCCCGAGATAATTTATAGATATGATATAATTCACCGATTTTTGTTTGAGTCTCAAGGACTAAACTGGGAGAGAAAGCTGTTCAATAAAATAAAACCCGGAAAAATATTCACGTTGCCAATAAAAAATGAGTGTCTCTTTCCATATAGCCAACTCAGTGTAGGCGACTATGGACTCGGCTTCTTCTAAAATCCTTCCCGACAGAAACTGATCAGTCAAAAGGGCTCATGGGAACGCAAGCGGAGGAAGGTAGACCTTGCTCCTCAAGCATACAAAGTCTATAGGAAAGAGGGTGTCGTAAACGTGAAAAGGCTGTACCACGCTTCGTTATTAACTCACGATTTATTCATTTGATTTGAAGATTTTACTACAACGCTTCGGTCAACTCTCGGCTTATTCGAAGGAAACGCAAGTCCCGTTGTAAGCACGCAGAACAGTGCCATATATGGGGAGATAAAACACGTGCCGCATACATGCTTGTTTGGTTATTCATAAACAAACGAAATCACTCATAAATGTCAATCACGTTAAGGATAATTAACGCATCATACAGTTTCCAACAAGGGCCACAGTTTTTGCAAGCGAGTGATAAACATTGTTCTCGCCACATTTACTCGCAATGCCAAAAATATTATAGATCTGTGGTATTGGCGTGATGTGAAATATTGTCATTTAGAAATGAGACGAAACGCGAGCAAATAAACGGGATCATTGAGCATACAAAGAGAGTAAAGAGTCTAAACTGAGGTTTCGTGAACGTTTAATAGAGCTTTCTGGCAAACATCCTTCAACAGGAGAGTTAAAATGTGCGTAAGGGAACGATGGCGGGCCTTACCATTAATTCGTAGACGCTCAGAGCCCTCAGAAGACGAAGAAAGAGTTTTTGCAGTCTGTGGATAAAGCGGGTTTATCGTTGTCCTTTAGCCACGAAAGAAAAAAAAAACAAAGGAGATTGCAAGCTAGTCGAAATTTCTTCCTTCATTTCTGTAACTTCTTATTCTACCCCTGAATACCAACGTGATAGAAAGGATGACTTAGTCTTTCATGTAACGCCAAGAGATCATAATCTTTGATCTTTGGATCTCGCGGGTGTAAGGCTTGAGTCAACTTTATCTCAGATCTTATTTTTATAAAGAGTCTGGCAAATACTGCACTGGTTCAATCAATTAAGTTCGCTTTTATTCGGCAAACATAGTTTCTTTAAAAAAAAGATTCAAACAAATTACTCCTCTTCATCAGTACTTCACTGCTTGAATACAGTTTAGACAACCCATTCCGGTAGTGCTGATCTTTCCCCGCGGTCAAATCGAGCAGATTACAATTTCCAATCCTTTGTGTACACGATGTCTTTAATTTTCAACCCATGTGATTTATATTGAAAGAAAGTTCCCTGATATGCAATGATTTCTACGTTTTCCACATCGCCAGCATTTTATAAACTGAATGCTATTCCCAACTTAATCTACTTCTTATTTCAAGAGAGGAGAAGCTTAATTTTTTGTATTTTTTGAATACATTGAGTCTGCTAGCTGGCGTAACTCAGTCTATAGTGAAAAAACTCTTCTAGAGCTAATTCAAGCTAAAATTCGGCCGCTTTAGTTTAAACTATGCCTCTCATATAACTTTTGAAATCATAAACCACAGTCATAGTACAGAGATTATGTTTCCTGACTCTAAATTGTTTCAACTGATTTTATCATGTTAATGTAGTTTGCCCAGGTATGAAGAGTCACGACGTGCGTAGCTGAGTGCTTCGCTCTAACTTAACGGAGTACTTTACCTTAACAGTCATAAAATTAATGACTTATGTGCATGCTAGTGAAAGTACTTCTGAAGAAACGGCTCTCTGAGCCGACTCTACGGCCTGTTTATGCTTATTGTCAACTTGCAAACCCAAAATATTGTGTGTTTCTCCTTAAAGTCTCCCGTGAAGGGAAAGAGCAGCTACAATGCTGTAGCGATGGATTATGTTTTACTGCCGTATCCTCTGATGTGTTCCGACGGATGTGTTCTTTCTCCACGTGCTGTTGTTCTCTCTTGCCACTGAGGTGACTAATCGTACCTGGCTATACTTCATGTGAGTTATGATTTTCACGCTACTTGTGAACAAACACTAAGATAAAGGTTATTCGATCCTTGAACGAGTCACCCTTAAGTATTGTTCGAAGCCTTTGCGTGACTGTTTTTCTTGTCTAAAAATTTCTTGATGAAAATGGAAACATTACAGAGAAGGACAAGAATAGCACCACCAATACTAAGACCATCTGGAACAACATGAAGGACAATGAGCTGGAGAACGAACGAAAACGCGATCCCAGTAGTGCGCAGCAAGGAAATAATTGAAGCTTTTTCCAAAGTCAAGGCTTTGGTTACCAGTAATTGGCCTCCATAACCTAATGCACCGGCGCCAAGGACATACAGTGCGTCGTGAGTCCGACAGTCTGGGAATTTGAACCCAAAATTCGAAATTAAAGAAGCTATAAGGCTTATGATTGTTCCAACTACAGCGACGTAGAATACTACCACTCTTGAACCGACTTCTTTTGATATTTTCCGAGTCAGGACGATAGAGCAGGCATGACAAATCGCTGAAACGACAGCGAGAAGGGTTGGAAACCAGACTTTTTCGGATTTAGAGGCCTCTCCTAAAGAACCGAACAAAAAGGTAGGCCTCGCGATTAACACCACCCCACCAATAGTTGATAGAATGGCTACCGCGTCGAACTTACTGACGGATTCTTTGAGAAAAACGCGTCCAAGGATAGCTGTATAAACAGGAGAGGTGTAAAATATAACCCTCTGGTCAGCCAATGGCATGTGTTTGACAGCGTAAATACTTAGAGCCATGCCTGTAACTCCAGTGACTCCGCGAAGCAATAAGAATTTGCTCTTGCTCCATGGATGGATAAACTTATCCTTGAAGAAAATCATCGGTGGGAATGAGAAAACGAGTTGTAACGTCAAGCGGATGAAGGTGATCTCCAGGCTTGGAATGCTCTCGGCGAGTTTGATCAACAGTGCCGCTGAAGAGATGAACAAAGACGAAATTACACACAGTGTCATCCCTAAGAAGGCGACCCTTTTTGCTGCTGGTGATGTAACTTCTGTTGTTACAGAAACTTCACCTGTCACTGAATATGGAGGACGCGCCGTATCTTCCTGTAGGTTAATTGTAGTGAACTCATCTGTGTTAGTGTGGCTTGATTCCTCCATTTTGTGGTGGGCATTCCTGTCTACAAAACATTTCTCGTCGACTTCAAGGGAATGCTCCTCGTGCTGAAGCACAATTGCGTCGTTTTCCAGTAAGCATTCGTCGTCAGACTTCCTCCAAAGTCTTAAGAAGGGAGAGAAAATCCTCGCTTCCATATCTGTCGAATGTCACAGCCGATGCGATTCCCTCCAAGAGATACTGGCTCTTGCCAATCTATGCTATGATTTTGGAAAGAAATTTTGTGGTTTTATGTACTTCGCCGTATTTCACAATCATAGCTCTAAGTTGCATCACAAAAATACGTTGAAACAACGTTACGGAGATAGTTGACCTTAAGTCACTCATGACGTCAGTGTCGAGTAGTCACACTTTTGTTACCTGTTTACGTCGCAAAAATGTGGGTAGCTCACGCAATCAAGACGTGTATCACTCTCGGACTCCTCACAAAGAACAGCGACAACGGAGAATGCTGGACAATGAGAAGGATAAAAGGGCTTTGACGTGTGGCAGATCGTTATTGGCTTAAATAAAACTTTTTAAAGTATGCAATTTGTTTTGCCAAGCGCTGTCTACTTGAAGAGTTAAAAAAATTATTGTCGAAACTAGAAGTTGCATATTTGAAAAAAAATAAGTCGCTTAAGCAATAGGCGTTCCAGGGTCAATCTTTGAGAGTTCGGATAATTCAAAATTTATATATTCATTTATTTACGTGGGTTTGAAAGTGACTTTTCAGTAGACTCGGGTTTTGGTTACATGAGATGGTAAGTGGGTAGGTGGTATAATTTAAAGATTGCTACCCTATTCACAGATGAATTGATTTAACCCCTATCAAGATGAACTAAGTACCTCCTTCCGTAAGACCTGTAAATGATTCTTAGTTCGCCTTGTCTCCTCATTCTATGACTAATAAGAGTAATGCTCTACTTACGCAACGCAAGAGACTTACTTCTATCAAAATGCTTTACAACTTTTTGACCATTAAAAAACTGTTTCCTTGTCGTAGATTATTGTTCCCCGGTTCACAACAGCACTGCGCATGAGTATATTGGTCACCGAAAAACAACCGGCGACACTTGGATCCGTTAGACGATAATTTATTGGCATCCAAGTAAATCTGACAGCGAAAACTAACACCTTTTGGATGTTAATATATCCTTGTGCCATTTGGCAGTAAGCCATCCCGGCAGTTCCCCTGTTTCAGAGGGTAAAACGCGAAGATGGAACCCAAAGCAAATGGGAGGTCCCAGGCTCTTATTCTTGGCCTTTTCGTCAATTTAGTTCTGACTTTAGGCTCAATAGCTTTCACATACTATTCTTTACATCGATTCGATTCCCGTCTGACAGCAGTTGAACAAAATTTACAGCTGACAAGTTCTCCGGATCAGCTTGCTGATCGTGTGATCGCTCAGCCAACATTTAAACAATCGTCGCCGAGTGGACCACAAATGAAAGAAGATGACCGCGTCAAGAGAGCCGCTAATAGGCAGTTCATGTGCCACAAATGTAGCAGTGCCTGTTTGAAGTCAATTGGCCATCGAAATGTAAGTTTTTTTTTGCCTCTATGCATCACAAAGCTCTCAGGCCCTTGCAATGTTTTGAATTCCTGAAATTGGCGAATTCATATCCAGATGAAAAGGAAAAGAGTAATATTGCCAGGAAAAAGAGATAAATCCGTCTGAGTTTCAAGAAACATTTTTGGTTTCCTCAAACAAATTATGAGAACGGAGGAACGAGAAGTATACCGGATATGATCTGTTTGAGCAAAAACCGAATGCGTTGTCCAATCCATTTAACCTCTGAACTTTACTTCCGCCATCGCACTGATCATAAAACCGCCTGAATCCCCAGTTCTTTGCCTTATTTTTTCATTATTTAATCTTGACCGATTTTTCTATGTATTTTTCATGCTAACTTGAGACTTTTAAGCAAAGCTTTTAACCTAAATCATATAATTTTAGAAGTAACTGAATTCCACAAACAGTGTTGGAATGGTAAATGCTATATCATGTTCCCTATAAATAGAAAAGTCTAAAAACTTTGACACTCCTGCTTTGATTATTAACAGACCTTGAAAAAAAAGTTGTTGTTGAAAATACAAAGAAGCGGAATTGAAGTTTCTGGTCCAAAATAAGTTTTAGCATATCTCAAGAGTAGGTCCATGATTTGTAGCTGCCACGGTTAGAAATACAGCGACAAAAAAATAAACACAGCTACGTTAGGCCTCTTGGCTGTACTGATTTCTCTCCAACTTCTCTGCGTGACTGCTGCTCATTTGAAAACCACAAAAGTCTTGTTTATCGATATCAAGGATCTCAGCGATCTTTTTCAACAATCTTTGGGATCATTGAGGATGCACACAAACCTGGCTTTGCCACATACTCTGCACAAGAAATTATAAACTGTTTATAATCTCTTGCTTTAATGGAACTATGTTAAGTTTTTCCGTTTTGATCAAGTTGATCAATAGCAAACTCTTGAGTGCTTTTTCATCAATGTGTTAATTGCTGAAAACAAAAATTGTTTTTCCTTGTTCTGCAGAATTCAACCACGAGTGGAAGCCAACTAAATGTAGTGTGTGTAGAGGGTAAGTTCTACCTTTTTTTATTCATTGTAATTTATACCATCATTTTCAATTCTAAAATATCTGGAGTAAAGAAAAATATACATGATGAGACCGCATCTATAAACTAAGCTGAATATTATTAACCACATCTCATTCTTTTATATCTTTATCTTATCAGCTCCAGTTAGACCTCAAGGTCCGCAAGGCTACCCCAGTCTACCTGGCCCTCCTGGTGCACCAGGCCCTCCTGGCCCTCAAGGACCGAGTGGCAAAAGAGGGAGAAAGGGTTCAAAGGGCGTACCAGGTCCCCGAGGAAAGCAGGGCTTGAGAGGATTACCGGGACCCCCTGGAAAATCTGCATCAGATGGGACAAACCATGGCAGTGGAAACCAACTGGGTACAGAGTTTCATTCTATCTTTTAATTCTATTAACTCATTCGGGGCCTTTGACATTGTCGATCCTGGCAGTATAAGGTACGTGATCTCGATAGCAGAACAGTCGAATAAGCAGGGGTAAGTGGTCAAATAAACTGACTTATTGTCAAGCTCAAAACATTGCAAAACCAAGATGGCCGTTCGAGTAAAAAAAAAGTACACCGACGCCCGCGGTCTTCAGCGGCAAATCCATAAAAGGGCGGGAAAACGAGTGATATGTAAACAAAACATATACATTCCTTAAATCCTTCTTTAACAGTGCGTGTGTGTCACATATGAACATAACAATGGCCAACACTGTTGAGTCTCTGTGGCTCAGTGGGTATTCCCTCATGGGAATCAAAATTTATGTTCCGCGCTTGTGAAAATTTAAAAATGTATCTTTTTCCAGCAACGGAGCTTGTTGCAATTTCGTAAGTATGGAGCGAATCGGAATATTGGCACCGCCCCCTTGAAGGAGTGCTAGTCCGTCGAAGGTGACCCTCCTTCCACCCCCCACCCCTGACACACCTCCTTCCACCGCCATTTCGTTACTCCTTTATATTTCTAGGTGGAGAATGCCACGGGGCTAAAACAAACAACACGACACAGGGTCGAGTTATAATGATCATCATCATCATCATCATCACCACCATCATCGCTATTATCATTACTATAGTTATCAAAGCCCTTTTCGATTGTGTGTCATCTGAAACTGAAATTAAAGTTGACCAAACGGCCAATCAGCTGGAAGGAAAATTTCATAAAGAGCCAATAAGAATCAAAGTAGAAATGAAACTGGCAATCTGCCTTAACTGCGGGAAAAACGAGTGACTTGGTTAATTGGTCATAGTTTTGCATGTTACTGATTGACAGAGTGGCACGAATTTTCTGGACCAGTCACAAAGCGTCACGACGCAAAACCAGCGTAGTCCTCGGATTGCCTGTTCGACGAGTGAAAATTTCTGTATAAGACTGACAATGACCTAGGATTGTTAAAAAGAAAGCCGTCTAAAATATTTCTTTTGCAGAGATTCCACGTATTATTTCGAAACCACCCTCTTCCGATCCCATTAAAGAGAAAGAGAAAGTTACTCTTCCTTGTAAAGCTGTTGGCTTCCCACAGCCAATTATCACGTGGTACAAGAATAATGAGATAATAGACGAGGGAAGGAAGCATTTTACAGAGTGGAATTTGGAATTTCAGGAAATCAAGTTTGAAGACCGTGGTATTTATACCTGCAAGGCGGAGAATTTGTTGGGACATGCGAAGCTGTCGGTCAATGTAACCGTGAATGGTTAGTATAGTTAACTATCAGACTTCCGAGTATGGGGTGGTGAATATCTCATTCCCTCTCCTCCCTCTTCCCCCTCTCCCCCCTCTCCCCCCTCTCCCCCCTCTCCCCCCTCCCCCCGCGCGAGGCTTGTCATGCTTCGGTTATTCAAGGTTTTTTATCTTCATTTTGGTTTGCAGTACCACCAAAATTCATCACGAGACCAAAGAGTTTTGTGAAGGGTGTCAAGAATTGGGACACTGTTATTACATGTGACATAATTGGCTACCCCACCCCGGCTATCACATGGACAAGACCTCCGAAGCAACTCTCTTCGAACAGGCATATCATAGATGGCAAGCAACTTACGATTAGGAACACAAGCGAAAGCGACGGCGGAGGTTATGTTTGCCATGGGGTTAACTCATTGGGAAATGTGATGGCTATGACATGGATCTTCGTTAAAGATGTCGGTAAGAAGATTAATCGAAAAGCGCCATAAACGGAAACCTGGGGAGTACTACTCGTTAATTTTTCTTTGTCTTGGTTTTCCTATTGGCTTCATGAGAGATTTTGTGCTTAAAAAAGTTCGTAGCAAAGCAGACAAGGAAGACGCTCCTAAGAAAGGGTGTTTGACGAAAACATTCCTTGGGCATCCACTATCCCCATCCAAAGTCCTTGTCCTCAAAGGAAAGACTGAAACCATATATGATCTCAGCCTTGTCTTTCAATTGGGCACAGGAGAGAGAGCCGAAGTGTCTCACAGACTTGAATGTGCCTAACATTGTCTAGCTAACAAACTAACGAAAACAAACATAACAGATTTCTTGATAGCTTAGTTTTCAAATCTCAATTACCCGACGATATTTTCTTAATCTATGCACCTGTAATAGATCTGCATGTCAAGTACGGTCAACGGTACTATATCCAAAAGGTAAAATTCAAAACTAACAGTTATTAAGGTACATGAAAGCAAAATATATGAAAGACTTTCAATCAATCATGACGGTTTAGATCAAGAAATTAAAATGCAGCAGTAACCTCTTTTCTTTTACTTTTTGCATCTCGTCTTAGTTAATCCCTATATTGTCTCCAGTCCTCCAAGTAAAATTGAGGTGGGGAGTGTTGGTGATGCTGTGACGCTAAACTGTTCAGCTCGTGGCTCACCGCTACCTAGAGTCACGTGGTTCAAGAGTGGAAAACGCGTTGTTTCAACAGAAGAGGATGATGGGAGTGATTTATTAAAGAGTGGAGTCGTCATTCCTTCCTTCCAGCACAGTGACGCTGGGGTTTATACCTGTTTGTTTTACAATGACAAGAATATGACAACAGAAGCCACAACAAGTCTAAGTAAGTATGAATGCTTCGTTAGCAAAACGGATTCGATTGGTTTCTCAGAGTTTGATGTTGTTTTCGACAGAATGTGGATCGTTGGAATGGCTCACAAGATTGACTGAAACCCTATGGTGATTTGAATTGTGTTCCATTGCCCAGGTCAGGCAAAATCAATTAAACGATTGGCTTCCAACTGGGTTTGATTGGCAAAATCTGAACCTATTACGCTAGCTATTATTCATAACTTTTGAGATTTCCACATCCGGTTTCGACTTTGAAAAGCTTTCTCTCTCTCAATTGATTAGCTTTTCTTCTTTTCCTCTAGGTCTGGCCAGTTGTGGTAACCCTGGTGCGCCACAAAACGGACAGAAACGAGGCTTACGATACTGGTCCGGTGAATCAGTCTCGTTTGTTTGTGATCCACAGTATCATTTGACTGGTTCGGTCATCAGAACGTGTTTATCCTCTGGTAACTGGAGTGGATTACAGCCATCCTGTAAGCTAAGTCGCGGTCGTCAAGTTTGAGCCGTTCTCTTTCTTCCTGTTTTATTATTATTATTATTATTTTTTGTTAGGGACCTTTAGCAGTTAGGATGGCAACTCCAAGGAAGACATCGATTTAAAAATGATAATATATTTTTAGTTGGAATTTCGCGAATGACTGGATGTGTTTACCATCTCTTACGGTGCCACAAGCCAGCCTCAGCATAAAAGTATGAGAGCGGCGTTGAGTTCCAAATTGAAACTTAAATGATTTGCCGTCAGGGTTTCCTTTTTCGGACCACGCAAATTTTGATGATTTTATGGGGTAATTTTGCAGAGGCCGGCTAAAAAATGTACAAAGTTTTAAAACGCACTTGCCGAACTAATGTTCTGCTCATTAGATCTTTTGTTTTGCTACGGCCTCGTTGACGTCTTGCTTTATTAAAATATTAGCTTTAGGCCGGTTATTTACACATGATTTTACGCAAGCAGTGAGCCTCAGGCTCTCTCTATAAGAGGGTTTATTTAATTAAATGAATCTCCTTCCACTATTAGCTTTTGGCCTCTTGTCACTGTTCTCAGAGATAAGTGTTTAGATAAAAGTTTCCGCTGAATAGAAGATGGCTTACAGCGCGGTTTTGTTCAACAACGGCTAAACTTTGTTTGAATAACTAGCCGTTAGGTTTCTTTTCTTTTTTTTCTAGAGAGATCAATCATATATATCAATCACAATTTTTATCATTACTAATTATAAAAATTGTGCAGTAATTGTCCAGTTGAGGACGCTCGTGGAAGGGACTGTTGTCGGTAGTTGTGACAGAAGTTTTAAAGACCCAAACTGAAGATATCACAAAAAACAAATAAAGAGCTGTTTATTAGTTTTATTATACATTATAATCACTATCACTTTTCTGATTGGCCGAAGGCGTACAGTGAATTTTCGAAATCAGCACCTGGCACGTCATCTAGCTGCAGATCGTATACAATAATGATGTCAAGGACACTCAAGGTCATGGGTAATCCTATCATGTGTGACCGCGGTGCATGATTTCTAAGGGTAATCATGTCAGGTTCGCGCGCTTTGTGTTGCTTGCTGATTTGTATATTTTTTATACGTTTAGAAATAAACTACCAGTTCCACTTATTGGCCTGACCATGTTTTTTTACGTTCAATGTATAAAAAAACAATTATAAGATTCGTTTTTTGCGATATCCAGAATAATCATGGTCTAGTTGGGGGTTATCAGCCTCATGCAGCCTTCAGCTTCGGCTGATAACCTCTAAATCGACCTTGATTATTCTGGATATCACAAAGACCTCATCCAATAATTGCTAATAATTTCATGAGTCTGATTTATCACTGATGTTTTTGTTGTGCCCTTACAACGGAAATATTTAATTTCAGAATATCTCCACTTCCCTTTTTTTTCTAGGCCACAGAATTTGTCCTCCTTTGGAAAGTCCAGACCATGGCGCCATCAACGGACAACAATTTTGGGAAGGGAAGACTGTTTCATACACTTGCGCTTCTGGCTATCAGCTTAGTGGAACCTCAGTGCGGCGATGCTTAAAAGATGGAACTTGGACAGAAAATAAACCAGAATGCCTTCCCCAGAAAAAAGGTAAACTACAAATAGCTGAGGTGGGAGGGAAGGGAGAGGAAACTCCTGATTTTCCTGTTTTCAGACTTGGCCTCTAAAATCTGTACCCGTTTTTAGATCTGGCAAACGGCCTATTGCGAAATAATTGATTCGGTATCGCATCAGTTGATCTAGGATTGGCAAAATTTGCCCAAACCCTTAGGTCTCATAATGTATTTTGGCTATTTTTCTCTCTTTATCATTCATTTGGATCCGAAGAAAACGAAAGCAAAAACATAGAAACCAAATAATTTATAAGCACTTATGGTTCCCTTGCAAACCACTCCCTATTTGAGACCATTACAGTTAATACATTCTCTAGTATACAAACACTTCGACATAAACTTAAAGGTCGCATCTTGTTTTTCACATGGTGACAAGATGGAATTTTTCATTTGAACGTAAAAAATATTTGTTGGTACACTAAAGATCAGTTATTAATAATCGCCGTGGGGGGAGGGGGGGGGGAAGGAATAATATACCTGTTCTCCCCATAAGCCTCTGTAATATTCTCATGATCCTCTTTCGTTGGCATGTAATTGGCGGTCAGTTTCTATAGCCCCCCTCGGTATCCGCCGCTTTCGCCTCTTATCGAGTTCGCCCCTTCGGGTTCGCCCCTACCTTATACCGTGTTCGCCCCCACACTTTTCGAGTTCGACCCCATCAAGTCGAGTTCGCCCCTTGATTGATTGATATCCAGATGAGTTGATTCTTAAGTTGATGAGTAAATTCTTCAGTCTTAATTTCATAAATAAAGCTAAACGGGTACAAGTCTAACAACTTAAGCAATGCTGTCGTGATGAAAGCGTGGTTTACATCTTCTCAAGTCTGGTTGTTACGATCAACACATTTCGTGTTCGTTAGATAAACCGTGTGGTTCCCTTTATCACAAGTTCAGTGTATACAGTTATTTCTGGTAACCCCAGATCCCACGCAGAGAATTTAGTTGATTCTGTCAACCCAGTTCCCAAGCAGGTTCCACGCAATTGCCGAAATTCAAAATGATCGTCGCTGACGTGACATTTGGCACATTCTGTTAGTGCCTTCGTCATAAATCAACTCATCTGGATATCACTCAATCAAGGGGCGAACTCGACTTGATGGGGTCGAACTCGAAAAGTGTGGGGGCGAACACGGCTTAAGGTAGGGGCGAACTCGAAGGGGCGAACTCGATAGGGGGCGAACGCGGTGCAATTCCCCCCCTCTATACTCTGTTGGCGACGACTGGTCCACCCCTCCGTTCCCTCTGGAAACCATGTGAACCCCTCCCCCCCTCTAAATCCTCCCCCCCAGTCAATAATCATGGGCTGGTCTCTTATTATCATTGTTATATACCTAGACTTTCACTCAACAAAACGAGCTCTGTGATTGGTTGATTATTGGTCACGTGTCCCTGATCAAATTCAAATGTATCCCAATCGAGATACAATTGCGCAGTTGTTGCCCGCGCGCCGAATACAACAGCATGTTTTTGCCATATGACTGTTTAAGGGAAAGTCTAAATATATAACAAAGCACTTAGTCCCTCGGGAAACTAGTTAGTTCTGTTTTCCCTCGAGTCCTGATGTTTCCCGAGGCTAAGTCGAGGTAAACATCAGGACTCTTGGGAAAACTAAGCCAACTGTTTCCCTCTCATACATTAAGTGTATATTGTTAAATATTCCTTCAGAGGCGTAATACAAGTAGACGCGAAAACTCCCCTGCAAAATTTAACCTTTAGAGCATATTTTTTTTTTCAGACAAATGGCCTGAAGGTCATTACTGCATTCTTGCCAGCGGATCATGTCCAGCAGGTTTTACTCGGTCCTCGGGTCACATGCGGGCACTAAGTTTATACAGTAGCAGTTCCTTCTACATCACCCAGGCCCGGTTTGGGGACAGCATGATACAATGTCATGGAGGTTGCGGTCAATATGGGCATTGGATTGGAGAGATTTACATCAGAGCATGCTGTAAATAACTTCGTGTAATGCCTGTGAAATGGAATAAAAGGCATGATGCTGAAAAACCTTCGTTTACAACGTCCTCAAACAACTCATAGTTAGCCTGATGTCAACAAGATTGCAAATTCTGATCTAAACGAAGAAGCTTTTTTGCGTCATAAGAATAAGCTGTAGGAGTTTTCTTTGAAATAGAGGCAATCGAGTAAAAGGATTAATTCGACAGAAATAAACATTTGCAGCTGTAGGGTGTGTAACAAAGCGAGGTTTCTTGTTGGTACGCACATTAATCGCATAGACTGCTGGCAAAGATCATATGTATGACCTTGTGATCCCAAATAAACATTTACCACATGGAAATGTTGTGGAGAAATCAGTTTGGTAAACAAGGCTAGCGCAGTTGTGGTTAATTTTTTCGCTGATTCTCTAAACGTGCCGGCTACGAGTCAAAGATTTGCCCTTGAGACATCTGAACTTACATTGAGTTCCACCTCTGACGATTTTAATTTTTTTTAGCAATCATTTTTCGAACAACTCCCTCTTCTCTGTATATTTTAGAAGATAATGCTCAATTTTTAGTCAAAAAATGATCACATGAGACTCAGGCCATTTGTGTAACCTTGTTCTTGAACCATTCAATCCAAAGTTGCACCAGAACTCTGCAAGGTGCATACCGCGTAGGGACATCATAAAACCCGATGGACTGATGGTATGATTAATACGCGCTTCCCCTTGTCGAACCGACGATCAAATTGAAAATAAAACTAGTGCCAAGGGCTGAAGTTACGGGGGATGTTATCGGTAAAGAGTCTTTTGCCTCCATTACAAGTTTTGTGGGTGTATCGAAAATTAAAGGAACTGACTGTTGATGATCATAGCATGAGTGTTTAGGTTTCTAAACTTCCCTATTATGGGTGATTTTATCATACTGTCTTGGATTTCAGACACTTTTGATTTGGATTTATGCGGCTTCTCTGTCATTGTATTAAGGTGATCGTAAAAGAGTTTCAGCTCCTGCTTTCCTGCTTAGTTTCTGCCCTTCATTTTCGAAAATCGTCACGGTTTTTTGAAATACACTTGTCAAAACGAAATAAAATTATTACTGATCAATTTTAAACATTTTTGAACAGAGCAAAGAATTAACAGGCCAATAGGAGACGAACCGCAATATTGGGAGAAAAGTGGCTGAAGAACTTTGTGAATATTGAAAAATTGGTGAAAAATTGTAGTCACTTGAAAAGGAGAGACGGATTGTAAAATACGATCATCCTTATAGGATGGAAATGGAAGAGGGACACAAAGGAAGCTTACGACAGGCCCAGTGACCAGCATTAGATTGAGAACGACTCCAATAAAGCTCATGAAATCCAGCCTGCCATTTTGATCTGACACTGTCGAAGAGAACTTTGTTAAAACATGTTTTCTCGTCACGCCTTTTATTGATCATCACAGACACCTAACAAGGCTAATCCAACGGTCTGATGCAGCACAATGGCTGCGCTCGCTTTTTAAACTACTTGGGGCAGGTAATGTTGCTGTGGTAGGTGGTCTACTTCCTCCATTACTTGCAGCACGCTGTGATGTACAACTCTCCAATCCATTGCCCATACTTACCGCAGGGACCATGACACGTTATCTTGCTGTCCCCAAACGCGACCGGAGTGATATAGGTGTTACTGGCAGCATACATCTTCAGTGCTCGCATGTAACCAGAGGAGCGAAAGAAGCCCGCCGGACATGGTCCTTTGGCGAGAATGCAATAGTGGCCTGGAGGCCATTTGCCTACAAGAAGGAAACAGAATTTGCTCGGTTAATAATGTACGTAAATCGTGCTGGAAGAAGTAGTTCTCTCGCGCTGTTTTGGCAGAAAGTTTTTTAGGTGTTTTTCCGAAGGGAAGTGTAAAGGTTAACTAAGAGGCAGTTGTGGGGGATGCTTAACTATTTCTGAATCTTGAAAAATTTAAAGCAAAATAACGTTTTTAAGTTCGTCATTTGCAATCTGTTAAATTCTTCTTAATTCTTTTCAGTTTTCGTTGTTATTCTTTTTTGTGTGTGTTATTGCCTCTTTTGTGTTTAATTTCCTACCGAACAACTGTTTTAGTCTCTCAAGGTAAGAAAACCTCTAGACACTGTAAAAGGTGGAAACATTACTCCGAACATCGTGACACGTAGGTCCTGGCTGGCAATATGAACCTTGGATTTGCATAGGATGTGGATTATGCACTTAGGTGAGAACTGAAATTGTCGTGAATTTTTGCGATCTAGTCAATGAGTTCCTGTCTCACTGTAATTTGCGACTAAGCTTACTGACTCTTTAAGCTAGGCGAATCTTGGTTAGGGAGGCTGATTTAAAGTGACATGAATGATGTGCTCGGTTAGGTCGAGCAAATACTTGTTGACTTAGTGGAGTCCATCTTTAAGCAAAGCTCATCGGGGGTTAGAAGCTAAGGCAATTATGCAGGAGGTACAAGTGTTGGGTTGGGTTTGTTTGATTGTTTGATCCTTTTTTACAATTTAGTTCGTGTCCTTAAAAACTTCCAGTTCTCAAAACTTAACTTTCCATTTTTAATGCAGCATCACTATTTACGAATTCGTCGTCCCCTCCTCAAATATGCGAAATAGCAGGCCCTGAATTAATCGAATGATTCCAATTTGGAGGAACAACAATTCTACGAGCAATATGAAAATATGCATCGATCTACTGTGAACATTCGCTGCAGAGGAGTGCAAACCTACCAATTGCTTGCTGCAACTGTTGCTTCGTCTTTTGGAGGTCGTTCTTAACACTTTGCAGCAATGTCTCTTGGCCATGGAGATAGGCTGCTAATGCAGGCAAACATTGAGGTATTCCCTAGATGAAAAAAAAAAAATCAAATATGTTATCATGATGTTTTTGATGTTCAGAGCAGATTCTCATCTACACACTTGCAAGATTCTTGTTCATACGAATTCCATATGGTATACAACTTGCAAATGGTCGACTGGATGCTTTAGTTTTATAAACTTGTCATTTAAAGAGATTTACACTAGATCTCATACTCACATTGCCATGAGCGGGGATGGAATGGGAGAAGAAGCAAAGAATCACAACGAAGATGAACAAGACAAGCTTCATGGCTTTTCAGTAGTGGAACAAACCTGACTCAGATATTTACGAATCGTATCGATAGATAGACAACAAAATGTCGCGCACAGGAATTGATGATCTCCCTCATATATTCCTTCCTCGTAGTGAAGAAAGGCTTGTTGTAACTGATGAGTTTAGGAAAATAAACGGTTTTAATGGATTAAAATTTAAACAGCTTCTTGTGTTTAACTTTCAAATGAGCTGATGACTGGATTATGTTTGCCTTAGGGCTTAAAAAAAAAAAAAAACCATCAGCTTGGGATAAGCAAACAACTGCAAAGTGAGACTAATTAGCAATTATGGTGAACAGAATCATCTTTCATGACCTTTTTGTAACTTTTCGTACTTTCTTTTTCGTCAAGCTTTCATAAGTTCCAACAACATCAAAAATGATGAAATTGGTTTAATCGGTGGTGAGATTTACCACTCAGTTCTTATGAAACTTGCAACAGATGGGAGAACGAAACAGCCATTAGCCAAAACAAAACAAATAAAAAAAAAACAAATATTACAATGAAAACAGTAACAACAAATCAGAGCTTGATCTGAATTTAATTACATAAGTCAGCGACAGCTGACCTGACATAGACGAAAAAAAATCTGAGGCAACTGATTTGTCTCATTCTATTGACAAACTACAATTGAAGAGTCGAGTAAGATAATTTGATGAGGAAAAAAATCATGTTATTCCCAGAGCATCTCAATAATATTAATCACCGCCTGGTTAACTGTAGTTGTAGAGCGCTGGACTGCTTTGTGGGTCCCTCTGGGTCTTAAAATAACTAAGGAGAATGTGCTGTTTTGGTTCTGACATCTACTATTGATTCAAAGTTCTAGTCTTCTCGGACGAAAAAATCGAAGGCTCCGTGTCCTGCATATTCTCTCCAAAGATTATTAAGGGACGTAAAAACCCCACACACTTTTCGCATGGATTAGGGGACGTAATTCCTGGTGCTGTATCCTTGCCTTTTTACAAAGATTCCTAAAAGAACAACTGTAAACTGCTAAATTAAGTCTGGCCAAAGTCCACTGCAAAGTGGTGGACTTTGGCCAGAACATCATCATGAGTAGAGTGCGCTATATAAATGCATCATCAACATTATTATTATTATTATTATTATTATTATTATTATTATTATCATCATCATTAGTGGCTACTATTGATATACGGTCGATCCATCACGTCGGCTGATCGCACCAAAACATAAATTGGAGAAGCTCATTAGGGCTCTAAAAAATAAATGTTTTCTAGGTTTAGAATATTTCTTCAGCTTTATCGACTGTAAGATATTCAGCCCAAACTGCACTACAAAGAAAGCTGCCCCATCTAATGCTGTTATTTAACTCAAAGAATAGGGATGAGGGAAAAGGGAAGAGCCACTCGGGAACGTCACTCTTTGAACTAGACTCCTTTATCCTACGGACTCGCTAGACAGTCTTGTAATCTTTCCCCGATCGATAAAATATTTATTATCGCGTTGGTTTGACGTTCCATTTCTCAAAACAGAAGTAAGCACCGTGTCCCTAATAAGCACCCGGTTTCGAATAAGCGTCCTCCCTTCAGGTACCAAAAATAACTAAGCGCCCCTTAATTTCTCTCGATAACCCGGCTTGTCCAAACACTAACACGCCAACTTTTGGACGAAGAGTTTAAGTCTAAGTAGCCAATATTTCAGCCGTTTAACAGAAGCATATAATTTTACGTTCATCAGTCGCGGGGAATCACGCGTGAGGCGAGCATAGAGGACAAGCTCACGCGCGATATTTAGCGGGAGTCCGTCCGGTTCAGTTGATGCCTGGTACCGTAACACGAGTAAGCCTGGCACTAGCTGATTAGGAAAATAGCCAAGATGGCGGACGATACGAAAGAAGACACGAGTGTGTTGGAAGGTTTGCTATCCACCAGTGATCACCTGGAATCACTAGAATCACTAGATCCAGCTTTCACTACAAACACCGGATCATTTAGGCAAAGACATGTTTCGGATTCAGTAAGTTTGGCTCAATTTTTCCATTTTAGATACAAAAGCAAATTGTATATTTGGGTAACAAAAACAAAACTACAGAAAACCCGGCTAGTTACAATGATTTGGCTGTTAAAGTTAGCCACTATTTGGAGAGCGCCATACCGACATTTCTCTCAATCGAAGACACTGACATCTTGTATGCGTTGAGAGCTAGGCCAGAAATCATAGCAGTTTGTGTGATGTGGCCATATCTTTGTACCTTGCCTTCAGCCTTGTCATTCAAGAGGTGTAAGGAACTCGAAACAGAGTCATGAAGGACTGAACAACGTCATTTTAACTGGAGATTTTGTCCAATCATGAAAGCTTAGCAACTCTAATAGAATTTTGAAACTCAAATTTCGAGTGACCGCCAAAATTTATTTAATGATTTCAGCATGTCTTCTCTGGACACATGTCAACAGGCGGTGACAGAGCTTTAGGGAACATAAAAAATACTAACCATAAGACCTGTTAATTTTGACTTGTAATAACCCTGAATATTTGTGTTAAGGTATATATATTAGTCAGGAGCTTAGCCAGGATTTTTCAAAGGGGGGGGGGATTGTCACACTATGTTAAACAGAGGGTACCCACCAGTTTTTGCCACCTGAATATTGTAGGTTGTTAGCTTAAAAAAAGGCTTATAAAGGGAGGGGGGGAAAGGTAGTGGGAACCCTAGGATCCCCCCTAACCATACCCTTTTCAATTGGAAATTAAGCAATTCATTCATGGAAATCTACTGTTGTAGGTGGACATTGAAGTTGATGTACCAGAGGTGGTAAACATGCCATCCTTAGAAAGTATCCTGAATGAGGTACAGTACTTTTATTGTGAAAAAGCATAGAACCTCCAGTCCTTCTTCTTGAACCTGTCTGTCTAATGATCCTGGATTTGAAAGTGATATTGAAGTTCATAGATAATTTTTTTAAGAACAGTGAATAAAGTATGGTATTTTATTTAAATTGAGATGTTGGGCTGTTTCTTTTGACAGTAAAAAGGAAGGAAAATTAACTGAGTTCAGTTTTACAGAGCTGCTACTCTCAGAAAACTATGGAGTTGAATCTATTGCTATTATTACAGTCATCGGCATATGGTCTGAAACTAAATTGATTTAACTTTAACCCCTTAACTCCCAGATCAAATTTTTAATTCTCCTTTCTGTCAATCATACAATTCTTACAATGTTAGTTCTGAGAATTTAGTATTGGATTAACTAATTATCCCCAAATTGATATTTTTCTTTATTCTCACCACTTATCTGTTTGATATTGTATTGATACTGTAAGGAGAAATTCTGTCTTGGTCACTCATGGGAGTTAAAGGGTTAAAAAAGACAACACTTAGATGAAGTAGATGAACAAATTGAATAGTTCCTTGCTATGAAAAAAATAAAAATGTTGATAAACATTATTTTATGGTTGTCATTATTTCACACAGAAAGATGAAGATATCATTTCATTAGAAGATGACCCTGATCTTGCCAACATCCTTGAGAACCAAGCACTGTCTTCTTCTCTTGACTTGGATCTTGGGTGAGTTCTCAGTGAATGTGCAAGGTAAAAGGTTTTTAAGTAAATACTGCTCTTGTGCCTCGTCCAAACAACAACAACAACAACCACAACCATAGCAGGAAAAACTACCACAAAAAACAAAAACTACCACAAAAAACAAAAACTACCACAAAAAAAAAAAAAACCAGCAGTTGAATGTTAAGTTCTTGGTCATTACATGTGGACCTTATGGTGCTTGCTTTGTATATTATGATTCCAAGCTAAATGATTTTCTTTCCAGTTTTCCTTAACACAGTTGGTTGTTCATAGTATATGAACCCTGTAGTTGCATACTGTAGTTTCAGTTTTAATGTTCTTTCTTTTGCCTTTGTCTCTTTTACAGTTCAGGAAATAAAGCAAAGAAAACTAAACATGGTTCTGTTTTGCGACATGTTGTGTTGAAAAGTGTTTCCAGTCAGATGGTTTCTGCATCAGTAAGTGCAAAAAATTTTGTAATATTTAATTAGTATTAATTATTAGCATGATAATAATTTCCTTGCTCTGATTCAAATTTAATGATTGAGAAAGATGGTTTTATCGTCTTGTCACTAACATGGGACAAAGAAAAAATTCTGAGTCCTCATGAGGAATTGAACCTCAGACCTTCAGATTCCACGCTCTGATGCTCTACCACTGAGGCACAGAGACCCTATGGTGAGCAAGGCTATAAAATTTTTCCTTTGTCCTTTCACTTGTGACAAGATGAAAAAAACGTCTTTCTCTATTTCCTTACTGAACTCAAAATTTAGCATCTTTCTTATTCTATTTACAAACATGATGCTATCGACATTGCTGATCCTAGCATTATGCAGGATGCATGTTATATATGAACTCTGTAATGGGCCTCGCTCATGATAGAGTCTCTGTGGCTCAGTGGTAGGGCATCAGAATGTAAAAGCTGAAGGTCTGAAGTTCGATTCTTCATGGGGACTCAAAATTTTTTCCTTGTCCCATGCTTGTGACAAGACAAAAAAATAAATGTCTTTCTCTTTTAATTTTTCTTTACTGAGCTAATTTTCTTTACCATCTTTCTTGTTATATTTACAAATTTAATCATATTTCAAAATTTTGATGATGAAAAATTTTTCACCCAAATTTCACTTTTCAATTAGGTCTATTTTGTACCATTAGTTGATACTTGTAGGCTGTGAACAATATGAAAAGTAAAGTACAGACAAAACTGTATTAAGTGGCATGGTATTAGCCGGTCTCTTTGTACTAACCTTTCAACTCCTAAGATCTCATTAGTAATTCTCCCTACTGTCTGCCATAAAATACTTATGATTTAATTGGAGAATTTGGTATTGGATCAACTCGTAGTCCCCTAATTGAGTTTTTTTTCTTGATTCTCCTCACTTGTCTGCTTGATTCTTTGTTGATATTGTAAGGAGAAATTCTGTCTTGGTCACTCATAGGAGTTAAAGGGTTAAGTGGTTGGTTGTCAAAGTCCTGAATTGTTTCCCCTTAAACACTGTAGTTTTCACCTCTATTGAGGGGTTGTGGTCGCCTCAGAGTGAGTCTTAATGGCCTGTTTGTCCTCCTCCCATACTGAACAAGTTTAAATTTTAAATTTTATATCAAGGAAATTTCCCTGTTTGAACCTACCATTAGATTGATATTTAGAAACAAAGGAGTGTTTTTTCCTTTTTGTTGACAGGCCAGAGTGGATGCTGGTTTGCCAACAGCCATGGTAAATAACTGTATTTTTAATGTTATAGTGATGTATGTCCAGTTGTTTAGTCTATTGTGATAAGGGTTAAAAGACCACTTGAGTCTGATAGAAAATGGGAAAGATGGAAAATACATCTATTAGCATATATTCAGAATGGACTGTGCATGAATCGAGGAAGTTGTTGCTGTTCTGGCGAGTGCTTTTGAGTGTCTCAAAGCTTGATTCATGATTCTTAAATATTGATTCTCGATTCTACAAAATCAAAACTGGAAAGAAGATCTTCAAAATATGACCTGACAGCTTATGTTTTAGCTGTACTGTAATTCTGACTCACAGTGCTTTGGTTTGCATAAGAGTACGATGAGTACCGATAAAATGTCTATGAAACTTGTTGATTAATGCTAGGTAGTTACCTGTTACAGACTACCAATGCAACAGAAGTTCATGTCACACTGACTGGCCATGAACCTTTGAAGATTAATGTTTAACCTGTTTAATTAATAATTGTCATTTCTTATAGGCTGTTTCTTCTCTTATTTGTATTGGAACATCTCATGGAGTGGTGTTGGTTTTTGGTAAAGAAAATCATAGTTGTTTTGATCAACACATATAAGTTTAAGTCAGAGAAGATGATGAACATACACAGTGCAATCATAAGTCTGTTGAGTGTCAATATGTACAATGTATATGAGAGTAACTGGTGGAACTCTCTTGTACTCTAAGTCTTCACAGGACAATTCAAAGAATGCTTGCCATAGGAGTTTAAAATCTTGTGCAGAAATGATCACTGCAAGGGTTCATTTGAATAGTCCAGTTTTTTATAGATTCAGGATGTGATTATTGATTAAGCCTTAAGTTCATTTTTTTTTTGTCTTAGATCCTCAACAAACACTTAAGCTGGTTCTGGGGAACACATCCCTTGGTAAGAAATGAATGCATTTTTATCAATTTCCAAGGTTTTATTTATTTCAATAAAAATTGTTGAATCATTTGGAAAAATATTACATGACTTGATTGAGATAAATGATCTTTAGGGCATTGCTTAGTATTTTTGTTGATTAATTCAGAAGAGTATTTCCCTTAAATTTATTTTTTTTGAGTGAAATTGCATGTTCATATATGTCAGAGATATTACACACATGTACAATCTGTTAATGAAACACTGATTATAATGACAAGATTAACATAAACTGCATATCCTGAATTTTTTTTTTAAAACTAATAATGTTACAGGTGCAGAGTATGGGGCTGTTACTGCACTCGGTATCAATATGGAATGTACAAGACTTCTATGTGGACATGCAAGAGGCCAGGTAACATGAAGTTGCAAACACAGATGTTATGCAGTGTGCTGTTAGAAGCAATGGATTATGCATTCTATCAGTTTACCATATAATTGGTAATTATTCACTTAAGTGGAGCTGAATATTGGGGGATATGTACCTTGCTGCTTTGTGGCTTGGTAAATATCCACCACTTTCACAGACATTGATGTGAGTAAGTGTTTTAGAATATACCACACAGAAAACAAAAAAAATTAGTTTATTTTCATTGACACACCAAAAATTGTTTGAAATTAAATTGTTAATGTGCAATTTGTCTCTATGGCTGCTTGGATATGCATAGTACTTGCTAATCACTTCCAATTCAGCCAATCAGGGCATGTGGAAAGCACTATTCACCTATGTGGCATATACTGATAATCCATGAAGAATGCTTGAAGAACACAAAAAAATATATTGACCAATCACATGGGGTATATATCTACAGGGAAATTACATTCTCAAAATAATGCTGCTGAAAGCTATCAAACAAGACATCTACTATTTTATTGTAGTTCTGTACTGTATTTAATCAGTTTTATGATAAAGTTACCTATTTGATTATTTTTTTCAGATAACTATGTGGGATTTGCAGTCTGGGAAATTGTTGAGACAAATTGCTGATGCCCATCCCATGGGTAGTGCAGTGCTGCATGTTATGGTAAGAAAAAAGAATTTTTTGAACCATTTTGAAAGCATTTTGTTTTCTTAAAATGTGGTGTGCTATTTAGCCAAAAAAATTGTTTCTAGAGAGGGGTTTTATACAATTATAAACATATCTTGCAGGAGAGCGAGAAAAGAAAAGGAGCAATGAAAAAAAAAAAATGAAAAAATAAAAAATAAAAAAAAACCAAAGAAATATTTGCTTGATTTTTCACTTTTTTCCGAGGGAAGTTTACGATCTAATCTCGTCTTCGCGTACTCGACTCAGTCCTCCTGGGTCACGTTCAATCATAAGGGAACATCTGTCAAACCCTTATCAGCTATAGAGCACCTATTATAATTCTATTTTTAGACGTGGCTGTTAATTTTCTGTTGTTATTCATTGTGTAACTCATTCACAGTTCACAGATGACCCAACAGTTGCAATTTGCAGTGACAGTGGCGGTTCTGTGTTTGTTCTCAGCTTCAAGTAAGAATTTTTTTTATAGGAAAAAGGAAACGATGTAATGACATGAATTGCTCAGTGAAAAGGTTGCATTATTAAGTAATTTCTGTGATCGCATCTATTTACCGGAGAAAAGAGCGATCACCTAAGACTAATTTTCAAGTGAAGAAGCACTTCTGAATCCGGAAGGGCAATTTTACATTTGCAAGAGTTGAAATGTGACAGGAATTACTTTGGCGCTGTTTTCCTGTTTAGCTTTGGAAGTCGACCAAAACAACTTTTCAGTGAAAATTTTAATAGTATGTCGTATTGGTCTCCCTCTACCACGTAATATGATTGGCCTCCCTCTACCACGTAATATGATTGGCCTCCCTCTACCACGTAATATGATTGGCCTCCCTCTACCACGTAATATGATTGGCCTCCCTCTACCACGTAATATGATTGGCCTAGAAAACTCGTGTCATCTTCTTAACCAATCAGATGGAACACCGAGAATTAGGCATACCTTGGCTTGTGTTTTCTCGCGCTTTTGGCAGTTTGCCTGTTTTTACCTTGAGTTCTTGTTGGCTCTTTGCACCGGTCAATCATTGTAACTATTTAGGTATTTTCTTTAATGACAATCGCGTTAATTTCGCCGTGAAGGAAAGATTTTTTGATCCCACGTGTACAGCTTCCCCTGTTCTTCCAAGTTAAGCTTGTCGATAGGGTCGTTTAGAAACTCCCAGGACATTTCTGAAACGATAAAGAACAATTGTCAAGTGAACTGATCGAATCTTCACTTAACTAATCACTCTAAATCTGAAAAAATATCACTTGCACGATTTGAGTTAATAGTTGTTGTAACAGTCCACGCAACTTTCATGACAAATGAACAAAGGGGGGAAGTTTCTAAAGAAACTATGGTGCTGCGGCGGTGGGAGAGAATAACTGAGTAATTTGGTATTATCATCTGAGTTGATAACGTAAATTGGCCACCGGAAAGAGTTTCAAAGCTGACGTTTCGAGTGTTATTCGCTCTGACGAAGGGCTAACGCTCAAACGTCAGCTTTTTACGGTGGCCAATTTACGCTATCAACTCACTTGATAATACTAAATTATCTTTACAACCAATGCATATTTGTGGGACAGGTACTTATTCAATGAGTCGTATTTAATCAGATCCAATGAAAGAGAATGAGCATAGGAGAATATAGTACGGATTCAAGGAGCACTCAAAAGAAACCCGGCCTAAAACGTCCAGAAAAAGGGGGAAAATTGGGCGACCATCGGCGGTGCCACTTTTCTGGGCCAATTATAACGTTACTCAAAATAATTTAAAACCTACTTTGAAATACATATAATTCATGGACTTTATTCTAACAGGAGACTGATCGGAATGAGGACGTATGAATCAACTTGCTTGTTTTCAGGAAGGTAATAAAAATGACATGATATGATAATTCTTGCCCTTTAACTCCCAGATGAAATGTGTAATTCTTATTACTGTCAACCATACAATTCTTATAATGTTAGTTCAGAGAATTAAGTATTGGATCAACTAATTATCCCCAAATTGATATTTTTCTTTATTCTCATCACTTATCTGGTTGATATTGTGTTGATATTGTAAGGAGAAATTCTGTCTTGGTCACTCATGGGAGTTAAAAGGTTAATCTACACTAGGCATGCGCATATGCACTTCACTAGTAAAGTGATCTGCATTTAAAGAATTATTTTACGTCTATTTTCGTTAATTTGATAAAAAAAAACACAACAACGAAAAACAACAATAACAAAAACAACAACAACAACAACAACAAAAAACCAAAAACTTAGTTATGAGGGTTGGCAACTTTGGAAAATCGCATCGGCCTTATGGTAAGTGCTCTTGCCGGATTCGAACCTTTGCATGCTGTTCTGATCTGTTCTTCGGCAAGTCAATTCCTATTAGTGCCTTTCGCCACCCAAGGGTCGAAGTGGGTGTTGACCAACCTCCGAGGTAACCGGGAGGAAATTCCAGAAGGGGAGTTGGGGGTGGGGGTTAAGCTCTGGTGGTCTACCATCTCATTTTGCAAAGAAGCAATATGCTTCGTGGCATAGAAACCTGGAAAAGCTCCAGCCGCTGTGCAAATAAAGGTACACATGGAGACTTTCCTTTTTTTATTGTCACTGATTTTTATCAACTTCAGAATGGAGATCTTTTTGATGACTATCAGTTGCATATTATTGTCATGTTTGTTTTCTTTTTTTCGTGTTATAGCCGCGGTGAAGTGTGCACGATGGCACCTCTTCATTTGCATGAAGGAATGAAAGAGCATCCTCTTTATGAACAGTCGTTATTAGCTTTGGCCACTCTTACTAAGGTACAGTAAGACAAGTTCTACTGTAGCAGTTTCCCATGTTCCATATCGTGATTTTGACTTCTGCTTATATAAAGTACTTTGCACTAATGAATAAAGGGGATAAATTTCTAAAGAAACTGTGTTGCTGCGTTGGTGGGAAAGTATAACAGGGTCATTTAGTATTATCGACTGAGTTGACAACGTAAATTGGCCTTCCTAAGGAGTTTTAAAGCTATTACTAACACTTGGTGCTAGGACTGTGCTCCAGTCGCTGACGAGGAATTTATAGCATTAAGAATACAAGTTTGATTGTGCATTCGATGGTCAATAAGCCAAAATGTAACAATGCCTTCATTCTTCACGAACTTAAGGCATATATATTAACGGTGTCCCATATGTATCAAAGAGCTTATATTCTACTACTTTTGTTGCGTTTGTTTACAGGTTCTGGTCTTAACACTGAAGCCTGAGCTCGAGGTCCTCTTTACTCACACTCTAAAGGTACAAATGTTGGAAGTAACTTTAAAAGTTGTAAATCTGTAAATGAAATCTAAAAGGTGGTAAATTTTGAACTCCCATGTGCAATACAGAAAGCTTTTATCAGCATAATCAAGCACCTGAGACAAAGAAAAGTTTTCTACGAGTAATCGGAGCTCAGACCTTTGGATCTCGTGGTCTGAGACGGTGGGGAAGGTAGGGAGGGGGGAGGGGCGAGGCCATCACTTGATCAAGTGCGATTGGTGTTTGTTTTTTCTTTTCGTCGTCCCTCATCCATGATAAACCGAAGTACAACCATGACTAGCGTGAAAGTGCCTGAGTTCTTAATGTTAATGGCGGTAAAAACTATCCCCATTCTCCTCTGCGCCGACCGAAGTGGCAATATCTTTCTTATCTCTTCACCGAGCGGATTTTGCTTGTCATTCTTATCCTGATTTCAAATCTCGCGCTGAGATATTCGACTTAGCATTTTAGTGTTTCAAGCCTTTTTTTTTTTGCAACCAAAGAGCATTACCCCTTCGAAAGATAAATACGACCGAAAATGGTACGCTCTTTTATCCACAGTAGTCTGATTGTCAAACTCCAACCAAACCCACCGTTTGATTTGACTTTTTTTCGTAGAAATATTTTAAGGTAAATTTTGACAAGTTCGTGTCAATTCCCCCTCTTACTCTCTCAATGAGCGTACATTATACTCAAGCTGAAAGCCCCACTGAATTTTAACATTTGCTTTTCTTTTTCAACTGTTTATAATTATGTCTTCCCTTAGGGCCCTGCTGATTCTCTGCCGCTGTTGGCCTGGCAGTTTGCCATAATTCAAGTGGAGTCCAAAAAAGTCATTGATCCGGTGGGTAGCTAAATTTCTGTCAAGAAGTCAATATATTGACTGAGAAAATAGTTCAAACAAAGTAAACATAAAGCAATAAGGAAATAAAGTTGCGTTATCTATTCCAATTTTTCAGGAAGTCATTTTTTTAAAGTTTCGTCTGAATGTTTTGTGTCGTTCAGTGCGACGTGTGAAAGTACCTTTCAACTTGTTAAAGACCACAATGATGAACTTGAGAATTTAACTGTACACTAAATTTCCTTTCACCTGCGGATGAATATCAGGCAAAGAAATGATCCTGGCAGGTGGACTGCAATTTTGCAGGGCAAATGCAGGAAGCAAGGCTGAAAAAATTCGGGTTTCGCAGTTCACCTGCGTGGATCATTTCTTTGCTTAAGTATGCTTGAGTGTTTCAAGATAACCAATAGTTGACTGTGTTCCTCGCAACAAAGTAATCGTTGGAACAGAACTGACCCCATTAACGCTTGAAGTTGCCAAAGTGCTGGTACACCTCGGGCAGCAACGATTGTGTTGTGGTTGAAGTGCGTGTCGGTCGAATTTCGACCCTTTCCGTCTACTAACCCTCCAAATGCCGATTGTTCACCAAGTATGTGGACGAGCTACGATCGACGGCGTACTTTTGGCCGATTCTGTCTGATAATTGCCTAAGGGCCGTTTTACAACTAATTATGTTGGACGACTGTCTACCGATAGTGGGCCGAAGATCTGGTCGACGCATTCGATGGATTGGCCCACTCAATACCACACGGAAATATCTCTTAGTTGAAAGTTGACTGAAGAGTTCAAGGACAGACGCGCAAAGTCGCTTAGGTGGAGAAGGGCATTTAAATGTGGCGTTTCTGCTGTGATTTGGAATACGGAACACGATGTGTCAAACAACTGCGAATTTCCCTATTGCAATTATCTTGTTCAATAATTTTAGATGAGACTGCTTCAGGGTTATTTTATGACAATGAGGTATTTATTGTTTTATATTCTTAGAAAGTAATCATTATTGACATGTTCAATTTCCCGTAGGTTCTTGCATTTGGGAGGGGAACTGAAATTTTCTTTTATCAGGTAAACGTTTCTTTGCATGTTTCAACCATCATCGTGGCAAGCTGTTCAAAATTATTTTGTGAAAACATTTTGGTCAGGATGAAAGCAATTGTTAGTTATGCTCTAAGGAACCTGTTTAACTTTTGATTGGAAAAGATGGGAAATTTTGAGTACGATCGTTGGGTAACGAAGTATGCATTTAATTTGTCATCAGAGTTGCACATCGCTTATCTCATCAGTAAGCAGGACGCTTGTTACATCTGATCTTAGTATATGGCCTCGCTTACTAAAGAGTTTTCTGTAGTTTGGTGTAGAGCATCGAGCCGCGAAAATTTGAATATCTGAGTTTTAATCCTCGTTGGAGATTCTGTGGTTTCGTAGCTCAGTTGGTAATAGCAAAGACACGGGTTTGAATCCCGTCGAGGCCTGAATTTTTTTAAGCTTCTTTCTTCGGAACTTCAGCTCATTTGCGAGGATCATTATCTATTTGTACTCAGATTTTCTTCTCTTGTCTTGATCTCACAATCACTGAATTCGTATCTTTCTCTGTTTAAACTTCAGTTTTCCTGTTTACTTCACAGGCCCATTCTCAAGGGGAAAAGCAAGTCAGATTTATGTTCCTACAAAGATTTGAGAGTTCGTATAAGCTCACTGCTCTTCATGTAAGTATGAGGTGTGGGCTTAGTTTGGGCAAATGCATTCATCATTTAAGGACTCTACACCGTTTTTTTAATGCCTGAAAGTAAGACAAACTTTAAATTCCCTAGAAAAAAAAAATCAATTCTGAGTAACTTGTCCAGTTATAAATCTAATTGGATTTCGGCGAATCTTGCTCGAGTGCGGTCCATCTACGCGGTTCATACCAAAGTGAATATGGAACTTCCGAATGTTCTTTTCCCTCGGTTCCCAAAGCAATATCTATGTAGTTTGACGGGGTAGTTTAGTTTTATCAGCTGAGTTGATAACGTAAATTGGCCACCGTAAAGAGTTACGGAGCTGACGTTTCGAGCGTTAGCCCCGTTATAACTTTAGCAGGTCCTCCTTCAGGAAGCACCAGAAAATGGAACTCCTCAGCATTTTCGTTATTTATTTTTTTTTATCGGCGCCCGTTAGGTATGAATACATTGTAATATTCTGCTGTTCGTTTACTCCTAGTGGCTGAACCCACAAGTAATCGCTACAGTAGACGCGCTGGAGAGAGTCCATGTCATTGATGTGCGAAGTATGGAAGAACTTGAGGTGAAGATGAACGTGTGATGAACGATTTCAGTCGCAGGAAAATCTGATTGGTTGTGGTTTTCATTTCTAGACCAAAAGCACATGCCAAATCAAACGGAAGCCATTTTTCTTGATATTTGGTTCAATTTCTTGCAGGTTCTTGACCTTAGCTCAGTACAGCTTGTGTACAGCAGCAGTTATTTCAAGTCACTCTCTACTGGAGGAAACGTCAGCAAGGCTTTGGTGAGGAATCTGTTTTTCGTTATTAGAGCTGTTTCCAACCCGAAACCTTACTAGCTACAATGGTAAATCAAAACAAATTTTTCATATCATTATTAGCCGATGAGAACTGAAAGGCACACTGCCAAAAGCGCGGGAAGACGTGGGTTATCTGACCAAGGTACGGGTAGTATTCGTACTGCTCTGGTTGATTGAGAGGACGGCGCAGGTTTTTGTCTCGCCAATCAAAGAATGAAGTGAAGCAAAAACAAAGCACTGGATTGTTGATTAATGCTCCTCTTCTTCCTGCCGTAGATCAACCAACTGAGAATTCTCGAACTTCCCTCGCTACCATGCTTCTTTAACCCTTCATCTCCCAAGATCTGATTCCTTATTCTCCCCTCCAGCTTCTACTCATTCCCTTGTAAATTGGTTATGAGAATTTGGTGTTAGATCAAGATAACAACTTGTACCCTTCTAAGTTTGAGTATTCTCATTACCTGTTTGCTCGATAACGTATGGAAATTATTGGGAGAAGTTACTTGTTAATCACTTCAGAGAGTTAAAGGGTTAAAAAAAACAAAGTGCGAACAAAGAAGAATTAAGGTTTACCTATGGCCCAAAAGCATTACTGCAGAACCTAGAAGAGACAAATTTCCCGTGTAGGTCTTATTTCAAATGCCGTCCCTCTCAATTAAATTTGGTATCCGCGTGGTTGTTACATGAACCAAGCTCTCTGCGTGAATGTTGTGTCAAGAAAGACCAGGAATTCCACACACAACTGGTTATTTCGATATTCTCATGCGAATCAACCTCGCTCCGTTACTTGATCACGTTATGCATCAGGTTCTCATCATGCGTTACGTCCACACACGCATCACGTTCTCATCACGCATTACGCTCCAATCATGCATCGCGCTTTTTCTGTTGGTGAGGAAGAAGGTTGGAATAAACGCCACAAGGGGGGTGCAGTCTGATGGTTTAATTTTTTCTTGATTTAATCAACAGTTTTGTTTCTTTTTCATTCTCAGGTAGCCGCCAGTGAACATTCATGTTATCAGACAGTAGTGGTGTTTAATGGACAACAATTACTCCTGGGTGTCAAGGTAGATAAATTTTCTGAACCATGAAATATAAAGAAGAAGGGTATATCATGAAATGTCAAAGTATATTTTCAAGATTTCGCGGCACAACTAGTTACATAGTAGGGTGAAAACTTACTGGCCTCTAAGTACATCGGAAAAGAGAAACAAGCTGCACACAGGCTGTGACTATCAAATTCAAAGGGCTCAAATGAACGTTTGGTAAATTTCTAAGGAACTGTTTTATGATTTATTGGATTTTTTTTATGTAAAAATTTACCTTGAAACCACCAAACACCAAAATGAGAAGGAAACAGAACGAGGATATGAAATGATGAAGGATTGCAAGAGAGTGTTAAAAACATTTAGACTCACAATAATTTACACTCCGAATAAGAATGATTAATAATAAAGTTTAATCGACACATAAATATTCAGGATACCGTGATGACACTTTTATGGTTCACATATTCATTTATTTATTTTTTACCTTTAGTCCGTCCATGTATTGACACTAAGGAACTGGCGCGATGTAAGTTCAGACTTCATAATTATAGTTTTTAAGATATCTACATAAAGATTTATTCAACAAAATCAGTTGAAAATAGGCAAAGGGTCAGGTTGTGATGACTTTTTTGTTATATTCCTCAAGATTCTTACGCGATGAGCAGCTTTTGATTGCAAAGCTGAAGGGGGCGGGGGCACTTTGATTTCCAAGGCGTCCACTAAGGGTGCGTACCTTAGAGGGTCGCGAAATAGTGAGGCGCATGGAGAATACTTAATTTGATTTATTGCTGTTTGTTTTTTGTTCTTATTTTAGAGGATTGAAGTTTTCGTAAAGCAAAATAACTTCCTGGACGCTCTAGAACTGGCACTGTCTTTTTATGATGGCACTGCCATGGCTGTGATCGGTAGGTAAACACCTCTGATGGCGATCACAGTATTTCCTCAGGACCTTCGTTCTTATCATTTATCACACTGAAAGAAAAGATCTATCTGCCCAAGGCAGACACGCTCGTTATTTGATGTGGGTATTGATCTCCAGCTTTTGTTGTAATTTGCAACGGTTGATCACGGCATGATCCAAGTAATCGCGGAAAAAGTTTGGTACAAACTCAAATTTCTAACTTTTGATCTCCCAAAACCGCCCTTCTTTCTTGTTCAATATAAACTGATTATTGATATTCTTTTCCAGGTTTAATTGGAAATAAAGAGCAGAGATCAACAGAAATTGCTGCACAGGTAAACTTTTAATTAGCGGTTATAAATTGCGTTGATTCCTTGAATCAAGACTAATACTTAGCATAGAAAACTACTCAGATGTCACAGCAAAACAAATTTGGATCAAACTTTCTTATCGGAAAGACGACATCTCTTCTCGATGCGGATCCTCAAAAAGAAACCAATAAATGAATAAAGAACAACTTTGAAGAACCCCCGCACACATTCGCGGACAAAAGAAAGAAGAAAAAAGAGAAATGATAATCCAAAAGTGTTTAATGAATACCTGAGTTGTTCATATTTTGTAACTCGAACAATTTAGTGTCATCTACTCGATAGAAAATTAGGGGTCGCAGACTGAGTCTCCATTGTGGTGGTAGAAAATTCCCCCCAACTTACTGCCTGGCTTGGCTAACATTTGACGAATTGTATTATTTTTTCTTTATCCCAGATAGAGGAACTATTACTAGCTTATGTTGATATAACAGTGTTCGTAAATTGCCCAAAGACTAGAGACACTAAGGAGCTGAGAGATTACTTCAAGGTGAGTTTTTGGTTCAAATGCTAAGAACTACAATATTATTCTTCCCCAATAAAGTAATGTGATAGCAGATTGCGTAAATCATCGAAAAAATAAGGTGGAATAACGTTTAAAATGACGTATGGATGTTAAATAAAGTGATCGTTGATTAAAAAATTGATTCGATGAAACTACAGAATATGAAATAAAAGTGAGTTGAAAAAGAATGAAAAGGGAATGAAGGTTTCATCTTTGAGAAACTTTTAATGAAAGAACGCCTTAAAACGCCGGGCGAGTCTATCAGGACGAAACTCCTTCTTTCGGAAATTCTTAATAAGGTTAATAATTTCTGATTAGAATACTCCCTTATTGCTTTTGTAGGAAATGGTACCAATCTTTATCAAGTATAGCCTGGCCATCAATAACATGTGAGTTTTATACAAAATTTTAAGGAATGGTCTTCTTCTTCGTCATCGTTTTTATTCCTTGAATGTGTTTGACTTACGGAAAAAGCTTTAAATCCTGATAAGAGCGATTATACTAACTTTATTTTCACAAGTGAAATACAATCTCGGAAAAAACAAACAAACAAACAAACAAAACAGAAACAAAACCGATCAAATATTTAACAAATGAATTCCATGTGGCCTTATGGCCATGTGTCTATAAAAGATCTCAGATCACGTCAAGCTGTGGAAAGTGGTACACGACGTGCAGCTGAGTGTGTCACTGATGCTCTTACCACATTCAAAGTCTTCTGAAATCCATTAGCGAACAAACGCAAGACAACCGCGAATCGACTTGATTTAACCCTCTACACCCTTACATCAGAATCCACCTTCTCCATACTCTTCTCTGTATGTTTCCTTTAGTACTGACAAGGAGAATTTGTTGAACAATCAAAGTTTCTTTGGGGTGGCGATCATTTCCTTTATTCTCATGATCTTAGTGAATAATTCAACCATATTGCTGAGAGGAGAAAATAGATGTTGGTCACTCTCAGGGTTTAATAGGGGTTAAGTAATAGAGAAGTAAAAACTTGTTGATGATTACGTTATAAATGCATCTGTTCTCCAAAAGACAGTTAGTGAGAGCCAATCAAAAGACTTGTGTTTTTCAGCTCATTATTTAAAATGGAACTGAATGTGAATAAACCATTCTCATTCCATTTGTTATTGCGACGAATGGGCTCGAGCACATTCATTGATCACTGAACAGCATGGAATGTGAAACTGAGCCAATTTTTGTCAATTTTTATTCTCAAAGGGATCTCTTATTCAGAGAGATTTATGACAAGTTCTGTGAAGATCCTGTTGGAAAAATCGTGTTTCTGGAAAGCTTGGAACCTCATATCTTAGCAGACAAGTAAGTTTACTCAGAAGAAATAAATTTTTACGAGTTGAAAGAGGTGTAACTGGACGAACCTCTGCGGGACTGCATTGTTTTAAGGGCCACACTCGTTTTCCCGCGCTGGAAGTCGTACTTCAATTTGCTTCAAGTCCATTTTCTTTTTCTTTTTTCTTTTCTTGTTTTTTCTCTTTTTATATATTTAATAAGTCCCTTTCTTCCCATTACCCATTGTTAATGGCTGGCGTCTTATTATTATTATTTTTTAATTCAATTCAATCTGAGAGCGCTTTTATTTTACATTATAAAATAACCTCGGAATGTCCCTGTTTTTTTTTCCTCTTTTTTTTTTTCAGACTAACGTCTTTGAGTCCGATTGTGATGAAGGAGTTTATAGGTAATGTGAATCTATGTATGTTTTAGGAGGTTTCTAGGCTGGAGTAAAATCTTGAGTAAACAGAGCTTGGGGTGAATTTTCAAGCTTAACTTCTATTTATACCTGGTTTACTCCGGGACCAATTATTTTAGCATAAAAGTAGCAAAGAAATCATGTTCATGAGAATTCCGAGACCTCTGTCCCATGAATAACTTTTTTCCTCAATTTTTTTAGAGCACTATAACCAGCAAAACAAGCTCAAAGATGTAGAATCATGTCTCATGCACCTAGATGTGACAAATCTGGATATACATCAAGTACGTACACATGACATGTCTACAGCGAATTGCATCCAAATCGAATCCAGTCCCTTGTTTTCAAGCGAAGTGACTTTTGCTAAGACCTCTCCTCTTTCCTCAGATGGTGAAACTCTGCTGGGCTCACGGCCTGTATGATGCCATTTTCTATGTGTACAACAGAGGCATGCGAGACTACACTACTCCACTGGAGGTATTCTTGGAATTGTAGGACGTTCATTATTTATCGCCTGGGGGCTCTGAAACGACTGATTTCCCCCAACTCCCGTTCCTTTTGAAAACCAAGTGATCTCCTTTCCCCCCGCCCCCCTTCCCGAAAAAAAAAATTAAAAATCTTTAGATTAATTAAATTATGTCTGGTCCCTTGGGATATTTGGCCTTCCGTAAACCGTATAAAGTTTCAATAGTTTTTACCTCTGTTGTAGTTGTTTTTCATGTTTACGCTGTTAAATGCCCAGCCTGTTCTGATGTGAGCGGTAGAACAAGAAAACTGCTTCAACTCCTAAACCTTTGAGAGTGATTAGCATCTGATTTCTCCCTACATTATCAGCCCTAAATCAAACACTAAGATTATGAGAGTAAAGCAAATGATCTATCACCAAATAAGCTTTTGATTGATAGACAACTTCTTTTTGTCGTTGCAATAGCAAATGTATAAATAACAGTACACAGGATATTCGTACTGAAACTAGGGTGTGTAGGGTGGGTAGGATGGATAGTCTGGAAGTGAAACGTTGAAAATATTGCCCTCCCCCACTTTTCTGTCCTCTTGTTCATTGTTTTAAATGTTCCACAGGAGCTGATTAATGTCTTAAAGGGCACAGTGCAGGCCAGAACTCCATTTGAAGGTAAGGTGTCTATTGTCAATGTAAAGAGTGACAAAAAAGTGCTGTGACTGAGGGGTTAAATGGATCTGTTCTGTGATTGAGTTCAGTGATTCTTTTAATCCTTTGACACCTAGGAGCTTCTAATTTCCTTACAATATAGCCCTTGAATCACGCGTGAAGGTTACGTTTTTAAAGGAAATGATCACCAACTGAAGAAGCTCTCGATTGTTACAGAAATTCTCTTTGTCAGTACTTTGGGAAATGTATAGAGAACAGTACGGAGTATATGGATACTAATGCAGGGCGTGAAATTGCGACTAATACAGGCGCCAATGCGACTAAATTTGTCACTTTGGCGACCAAATCCTGAAAAGTAGTCGTCAAATTGGCGACTAGAATGCTTCATCATAACCATACCTAGAGATACGGTAAATTAAAAAGATTTACAAAGATAAATCCGCGGCAAACGTCCTCGTTAAGTGTGTTTCCAAAACTCAGCGCATGCATCTCGATCGATAACTAGACGCCATCTTGGATTTAGGTGAGCTTGAACGTTGTATATCTTCCATCCTAGTGTCGACTTTGTAGAACTTCGAAGAACTTAATTTTGAAGGGTCTATCTAGAACGCTGATAGCGTAAAAAAAGTTTTTTTGTCTTTAAAAATGGCGACCAACTTTTTTTGAATTAGCTACCACTGTGAAAAATTTAGGAGCCAAGCGGCTATCAGCAAAAAAAAAATAATAATTTCACGCCCTGTAATGTTAGGTTGTAGAGGGTTACGATGTTAACAGCCCTTACTTCTGATACTGATCTTTTTGCCAAAATAAATATGGTATGAATTACGTTTGAACCGAGCTGTGCTGGTGGTGTTTGATTTGTGTTTGCCATTTCTTTAGTTATTGATTATAAAGCGAAACTATAATGGAGTAAAAAGTATGAAGAACTTAAAAAAAATCGTTGCTTTGAAGTTTCGGATCAATATCAGTATCTGGACAACTGCCCACCTACCCTTCCCCTAACCCAACATTAACCCTAACTTGTTGTCAATTGACTGTTGTTGAGTTAGGGGAGGGGTAGATGGGCAGTTACCCAGATACTGATATTGATCCGAAGTTTCTTGCAAGAAATAGTTGAGTGGTTAGTGCTTTTAGCTTATCTGCTGACAGGTTTAATGTTCTTTCCGTTTTAAGATTCTGATCTTTCTTTGGGGAACAAATTACTTGTATACATCAGCTGCTGTCTGGCTGGACAGGCATTCCCAGTAGGTTCCATCCCTGAGGACTATGCACTAGACGTGAAAAAAGAGGTAAACGTACTTTTGTTGAATGCAATCTTGGATTTTATTTCTTTTTCTTTTTTATTAGGTTTTTTTTTTCACAACTCTCATTAACTAGCTTTAAAATAAAATTTCTCAGTGAGTAAGCTACAAGTGTCTCCCTTAGGAGTTCAACGTTTCAGGCGTAAAACCAAAAATAAAAGAGAGAAAAGTGGTCAGTAATGTATTACAATTTTTCGTTTCTGTTTAAGTTAGATGGCGACTTGTTCGTACATGGTTCAAGAGTTCCTTCCCTCTTGGGCTAGCCCAGGAAGGAGCCTAGATTATACGCAGACCTTTTGCCAGCTCAAGGCCTCAAACTTTCCCGCGGGCGAAGGAACGCTCGCTTCGCAAGGCCAATGATGACGAGCTGCTCTTAGTCTTGTCTGTCTGTCAGTTTCTGATTATGTATTTTAGCCCTTTAACTCCCAAGATCTCATTAGTAATTCTTCCTTCTGTTTGCCATAAAATGCTAATGATTTCAGAGAATTTGGTATTGGATCAACTTGTAGCCCTTAATTAAGTTTTCTTCTTTATTCTCTTCACTAGTCTGCTTTATTCCGTGTTGATATTGTTAGGAGAAATTCTGTCTTGGTCACTCATGGGAGTTAAAGGGTTAGTTTTGTTCTTGCCTTCCAGGTGTTCAACTGCATCACGACCCAAAATACTAAAGACGGTTTTGAAAGTAAGTTAAACTATCCAGTGTTGCTCTGTTCATCACATCGCGTCACTTTGTTAAAATTTTGATTATTGCTTTGCCCGTAGGTGAACCTTCATATCCACGTTTGCGAGTTTTGTTACATTTTGATACCCAAGAGTTCTTGAATGTTCTTTCCATGGTAAGTCAGTTCATTAGCGACTTCGTCTCTTACAAAGCATCCTACTGCATTGCTCAGTTCTCGAGTATTCTTTCCATGGTAAGTCAGTTCATTAGCGGCTTCGTCTCTTACAAAGCATCCTACTGCATTGCTCAGTAAAAATTAAAACAATACACTGCAATATTTATAGTCACTCTTAAAGACCAGTAACCTCCCCTAAAGACAAACTTATACTCTTTGACCTCAAAGAGTAACTAGCATCTAATTCCTCCTTACAATATCACCTCCCCCCCCCCCCAAATCATACTTTAAGGTCACAAGAGTAAAAAGGCGACCGAGTAAAGACGCTCTTGATCTTTAAACGAATTCTCCTAGTCTGCACCTTAGAAAATGTATAGAAAACAATATGGAGAATATGCAAACTGATGTTAGGGTGTAAAGGGTTATAGGTACCAGTACACTAGTAAATGATTTTTTTCGACTTATTATGTACTGAATTCGATTGCAGGCGTTTGAACGGAAAGATTTTGACGACAATTTTGAGTAAGTCAAAGATGTTAAAATTTACTTCTGATATTTATAAGTACATTAAGTTAACAAAAGTGTGTTTGGTGCAGTCTTCATTAACCAATCTGAATCGCAGTCATGTTTTCAGTTGCCACGCACAGCCTCCTTTTGGTATATCACGCAACGCTGTAGAAGGGACAATGAGGATATTACATGAGTGCGCGTGGATACGAATTTTACCATTGAATATTGATGGCGGTTTCTTGATTCCTCTTTATAGTGGTCCATCTGGTGTCACGCGAAGACAATTCCTTGTGAATATCCTTCTTGACGTAATGGTGCAAGACACTGGCTTTACGGTAAAGTTTACGAAGAACTTCATGAACTTACGTTTCGTTCAAACAAATTTGCCATTTTTTTTTCTAATAAAGCTTTTTTTGCACAGAAATTTTGCCTTCTTCTTTGTCTTACAATATTGTTTGTTGCACATACAGCCAAGCCAAGTTGGATCGCTGTTTACGTTTCTAGCGCGGCAAATGGCAAAGCACGAGAACAGAATACAGGTCAACAAGGTGCTATTTGAACAGGTTGGACTGTCTTTTGTTTACAAAAGTGTTTTCATCGTCTAAAGACTCTCTTATTGTCATTGCATTTGTACGAGACGTGTCAAAATAGTGGTTAGCGCAAGGGAGTCTTGATCGACAGCTGCGGGTTGGGCCTTGGCCGAGTCATCCTGTTGTACTCTTAGAAAAAGCACTTACTCTCGCCATGCCTCTCTCGGCCCTGGAGCATAAATGGGTACAGGCAAACTGTCAGAGAAACCTGACGAAAGAAGCCTCCGGCTAGAGTTTATTTCAGTTTCTGTAGCATGAAGCGTCTAGAAGTACTGTTTCTTCCCCCTGGATGGAATGCTAATCCATCGTAGGTCATCTCCAGCCCCAGGAATTTCGTCAGGGTTCCTCGACATTCGCCGGCACTCATATATTCTCCTTCCTGCAGAGAACACCGCGAGAGGAAAGAGTCTTGCCAGAGAACACAACACAATAAAAGCCTGAAGAAATGCGGAAGGGTAACCTTCGCATTTATTGGCCTCCTGTTCAGGGGGGTGGTAGTAGAACACCTGGCTGCTTCATACCACTGAAGCCGAGATAAGCTCCGAGACAAGTGCCGTGTAAACGAAACGTTACCGCTTTTGCCTTATTAATTCATTTTAATTGCCCTTATTGCTTTTTTAAGGTCTTGGAGTATCTTGCTAACCCCGACGATGACTCCAGACACGAGGAAAGACAACAGGTAGTGTTTTAAAAACTATTTGTTATGTTAAGCGATATTCCAGAAAATATCACAGAGTGATAGCACTTGCGTATATGACAGCACAACTGACCGATTGCATCTGTGCTTTCTAATTGGACGATAGTGGTTTACGTTGATATGTTCTAAAACTATTTTTCAATCGAATATTTGGTTTTTAAATCTAGAATTTTCAACACAAAGTTACGCAATTTTTTTCTGACGGCGAATTTTAGAAGCGACGATTCAAGCATTCCATTTTGAATCTACTACGTGGGTCTTAAACATTCAAGAAATTCTTCCTTTTTTTGCTTCTAAAAAGCAAACTTAGATTTTCTATGGATAAAGCTCTGGTCTCAAAATATTTCTTGGTCGTTTTAGCCTTGCTGTTTATTCATAGTAGTACGCGATTACCTGGTAAATACGACACGATTGTAATAAAGCATTTTTTTCTTGCGTAAGTTCTCTGTGCTATGTTTTAGGACAATTGTTTATGCTTTTGACTGTGATTAATCATGAACCAATTGTTATTTTTCGAGTGCAAACAACACGACCTACATCGGATGTGACAACCGCATCGTGATACAAACAAGAATTCTTAATTTCTAGCCTTTTTTTCTTCTTTTTTTTTTTGAGTTCGTAGATTTTTTCTTTTATTTTGATATCTTTTAGGCCTTGTTAGAGCTTTGGAATGCTGGTGGCCTGAAACAATTCGATGACGCCCGCATACTGGTTCTTGCGGAAAATGCTAAGTTGTAAGTAATGTGTGAGGTTTTCGCCATAAACCGTGCATTGCCTCATCGTTGTTGTGGCTAATTTTTCCTCCAGCTATCGCGTTTGTGAGATGTTGTACGAGAGAAAACGGCAATTCTCCAAAGTGTTATCCTGTTACTTCAGGGATTCCTATCGAGAGGTAGATAAGAGTAATAATTATGTAGTTGATAGGAGGTAGATACGAGTAATAGTTATGCTTCCCATCAACTACGTTTCATATGTGATAGAAGTCCTAATCGAGCGGTGGACGGGGTGAAAATGCCTTCATCGATGGTGCTCGACTGATTTGAAAGAGATTTCCACAAGCGAAAGAGCATCTCAGATTTGTTAGATCTGCGCGTGATCGGAGAAAGGAAAACTTAAAAGTAGGCGTGAAACATTACTCATAGAAGAGAGCTTTTCAGCGGTTTAGGTGACATCTGCCTGGCAATCATAAAATGCTTTATTGATTTAGAGATTTTCCAACATGTAATGGCTCTCATTAGAGTTTGCATTCTCTATCTACGTCCTATGCTCGTTTACAGCATTGTACTTTACAAAGATTGTCTTCGTGTCCTATCTACAGCACACGATCTGTTGTATGCGAACACGTTTTACCAAGAGAATGGGAGACTCTTAAGCTGTTGGTTTTTTTTTTTAAACAGCACCAGGTTTTCACTTACGTCCATTATGTGATGTCAGAAGACGTGTATACTGATCTGGAGAGAGAGGAGCTGAAGGAAGCCACACTCAATAGTTTGCAGGTTAGTTTTGTCAAGGTCCAAAGTTCCTAGACAAAATGTCGTATGTTTGGATTATATATTTTCCCAAAGTTAACCAATATAGAGAAAGATGTTTTTTTCGTCTTGTCACGAGCGTGGGACTAGGAAAAAATTCTGAGTCCCTATGAGGAATGGAACCTCAGACCGGATTCCGCGCTCCGATACTCTAACCACTGAGCCACAGAGACTCCACGGTGAGCGAGGTCTAATACGAAGTTCATATGACACGCGGCCTGCATACTGCTAGGATTTAAAAAACTTACCATCTCTCTCAAGGAGTAGGCAAATGAATATCATTTATCAGTTAAACTATGATTTCCTAAAAAATGTTTTACGTTTGTCATAATATTGGTACTTCTACTTTATCACATACTTAATTCTATATCTTGATTTATATTTATGTGCAAACAAGTTTTACTGTTAAGAAAACAGAACCATCACAAAATGCGTAGAAGCCCCTATCCTGTGTTGTTACACAGGATAGTTTTATCCACAACCCTACACTGATAACAGTTTAACACGTGAACGCAATATTTCGAGGTAACAATTTTTTGAATGGTCACACACTAGGATCCCTTTCAGAGGCTAAAAAGTTGTAGTTACTTGGTACACCATGATAAATAGTACCACCTGAGAATACTGCTTTGTAGTTACACTCCATTGGTTTGCGAAGGCCCAGGTTGTGGGGACCTGCTATGTACAGCGTAACAAGCATTACAGCCCTTTGATTGAAGCTGACCTCTTACGAGCAACCGAACACGTATTAGATGATATACAGCCCCTTGAAAACCGGTAACTTAGATTTGTTTCTAAAGGTTAGGAACGTTTTGTATTTAAACTTTCAGAGCTTTCTTTCAATCGACTGCGGAAAAACTGCTCAAATGATTCTCACTGAATTTCCGGATATCTTGACTTCCGTTATCCGTCAGTTAGAGGTGAGTGTGTTGTTGAATTTGCAGTTATGACCACAAGCGGCCCAAGCTCCAGCTGTGAGATAATCATCTCACAGCAGGAGCTTGGGCTGCCTGTGTGATGACAGACGAATTTGACGCTTTTAGATAATTAAAGGCCAATCGTCATATATGTGGCACGTACTGTGCCTATGATAGGATAAGGAAGAGAATACAAAAAAATATGACGGTTGCATTATCGGTTTGATTTGAACTTTGCATGTATAATTACCTGGTAGAGATTGTTTATCTATTTGTGAAGCCATTTTTTTTATCTGCATGTATTTTTATGCCTATTTTCCTTGAAGTAAAGTAGTTTGCAAAAGGAGACGATAAGCAGGAATATCTTTGGTTGGCGATTTGCTTAAGAATTTGCATGGTATTGCCATATGTCCAGAAATGCATGCATTAATGAAAATGACGGATTTGACTAAAATTTTTCAAAATCGTCATCTCCGCTAAGCTAGTTTCGCATCGACGAATTTGACTAAAATCCGCCCGAATCGTAAAATCCATGAACATTCACTCGGTTAGACAAAATTTCGTCAAATCCGCCATTTTCGTCACTGCGTGTATTTCTGGGCAAAAATGTGCAAGTGCTCTCCTCCTTATACTTCCCTTCCTTTTCCTTCCCTTTTTTTTCGTTAAATATTCTTTTCTCCTTTCTTTCTTTCCTCAGGGACAATCGACTGTGCAGTATGAATTTCTAAAAGGCGTGTTTGAGAATAAGTGAGCAAAAAATATTCTTTAGGATAAATTATATGTTAGTGAATTCAAAGAAATTTCTGAGTTTCTCTCTTAACTGTGATGAAACGTTACGAGAATGGACTGGGCAGAGTATGAAATTGTTCTTAGTTTATTCAACTGACTTAGCGCTTAAAGTTACCGTATGCATCAGGTGACAGAATCTCCTTGAGTTATTTTTTTTTTCTATGTTGGTTTTTGTTTTGTTCTGCTTTCTTTCTTTTGTCGTTATTTGCTTGTTTATTTCATGTTTTCTTTTGTTCTGTTTCTTTTTCTGTTTTTGTTATTTTGTGACATGGTATACAAAAAGGTAACACCCTTTTAAAGTTCTCAAAAGGAAATGCTTTAAACGAGTCCTTGAAGCTAAACGGTGTCTGTTGCTTGCTAAGAGATAGTTTTTTTTCAGTTTATCGTCACGGTGGGAATTTTCCCACCGCGATGATAAAGAAGCAGGTACCTTTTTTATTTTTTTTATACAACGATTCAATATTCTGAAAATAGAGCAGACGTTCGGCAATCATGTTCTAAGTGGTCAATTATATGGAAAGCTCGGTGATTTTATTAGTTTGAGCAATGGAATGCGTTTCTTCTATATTCGAAAGAACTTTCATGGCGCGAGTGGCGTGATTGATATGTTATTCTAGAATGGCCGAGAGACATTGCTGTTTTGCCATTTAGTCCTTTTTGTCTCGTCTCATCTTTATTTCAGATCCCAGACCCCTAGCCGCCCAGAGGACACACCTGACGCTGAAGTCCACGAAAAATACATCGAGCTGATGTGTAGATACCAGCCAGATCTGGTGCACAGTTATTTAAGAAATACTGAAAACTACAGACTTGAAGAAACTTTGGCGGTATGTATGGAGTAATCTTAAAATATGGCGATGGAATTTTTAGAAATGACTAGATATAAGACTTTTAAGTTTCGTTTGTACTAAAAATTTTGCATAATGAGAGATCACAATTCCTATAGTTTTCCACTTTATCACGAAAAGAAATTGAGTCAAATTACAGCCTTAAAGTTATTACATTTTGCTTTCAAGAGTGGGATTGTAATCGTGTTATTTAATGCCACTTGACCTGGCCTTTTGACGTGTAGTTTTGGATAATATGTTGTGATTTGTGGACTTGAAATTTCCACATTATGCCGTTATTTTGTAATCAACTCACGCGCTGTGTTCCCCAGAGCTATTGTTTTGTCAAACCGCTTTACTAAGGAAACGCAAAGTACCGAAAAAGCAATCAAAAATCTTAAACAAAGCATTGCATAACATTTATTTTCTCATGTTCCAACTGAACAGCATAGAATGGGTTTTAATGATAGTTAATATGATGAACACATTTTCTGATTGTCCCTTGTGCGTTTTGCTTTTTTGTTGTAGATTGTTCGCCAATTTAACAACACATATGCTACATCCTATCTACTGGAGAAGGCTGGCGATATTCATGGAGCTTTCCAGCTTCTTTTAGAGGTACGTATGCCTGTATTCTCCTTCGTTGTCAGAAGCAGTTCATGATCATTTTCTACTCTTTTTGCAGACTTTAAAGGTGAAAGTAAAAGTTCTTTGTGATGTTTTTGAGGAAAACGAATCACCATCTTTGAACGGTACAGTGATTTTTTTTGTAAGATGTTATGCCATCACGCGATAAAAATCTCTAGCCCATAATCTAATTTTTGATTAGTGAGCTGAAAAGGTTAACATTATTTCAGACGTTTTCGCTCCATCTGTTTAGCAGATTTCAACTATTTGATCCACGAAATAAACATACGCCACGCACATAACAGAATATGTAAGTTTATTTTAACACTGATTTGAAGGGTTCTCTTCCAGAAATCAGGAAGCTTACTACAAACATTGAGGCTGTTTTACTAGGAGTTTTAATTCCTCTGTGCCAAAGAAATTCTGGGAGACTTGAAGAAACGGACAGAGAGGTAAAGCACAATTTTGGTGACAAGATTCGTTGCTCCTAAGATACATCTTTCCAACCAGGAGTATTAAAGAATACTGAGCAAAGAAGACAATCTGACACTTTCTCGAGCCACGAGGAAGAAATTTGTAAAGCTGAAGCAGCGTTACCAGGACCGTAGTAAAATTAGTCGCCCTCCCGTTCCCTCATACTTTGCGTAGACCTTTCATTTCTGTCTGTTTCTGTCATTAACTTGTACCTAATCGTGATCAACGTTGCTACTTTGTTGCTACTTTGTTCTCGTACAACAACATCCACATTTATAAACTAAAATAATCCTCAGTGATGAAGCTCTGAGCTCAGGGGTTAAGGAGCCAATATTTTTTTTAAGTTCGTCATTTGTAGTCCGCTTTGATACTCTCCATTCTTAGCAATCTTCATTCCTCTTTGATATGTTGTTGTCTATTTCCTTTTCATCCACTGGAAGAAACACGAAGTTGAAAGTCTTTACTACTAAGAGCAAATTTCATCGTTGTAGAAAATGACCAACTTTAACGTTTGTGTCTTACCAGGCTTTATGGTTTCCTCTTCTCGAAACCGTCATGGCTCCTCAACGGAAATGTAAAGATACAACTAGTGCATATTTTTTAGGTAAGAACCTTACGTCATTGTTCTTAAATTGTAGTCTCCTTTCTGAATTACTTTTTATGCAGTTTCGTAAGCTGATATGTAGATACGAATGATTTTTAACAATTGTTAGAAACTAGTTAGAATTATCACTTTAAGTTACTAAAAGGAAGTTTAAAAAAGAGAGAGAGAGAGAGAGAGAAAAAGCGAGGAGGAACATTAAAGTTGAATCGAAGATAAAACTTAATCATGATTTATACATTTATTGTAGCTTTTAAAGATCAGACAAGACACGTTTTAAACAGCATGATGGGCTATATATCGTTACCGGCCATTTTACAGAAGATTATGCAGGTAAATTTCCATTGATTTAAAAAACAAATTTCCGGTTGAGTGGCGAGTTGAATCTAGGATTGGATTGGTGTTGGTTCATTTCGCCTTGTGATCGGTTCAGGAAACTCCCGCTATCCTCTCAACCAGTCAGCTGCGACTTCTTTTTTTTTCGCACATCAAGCTGCTAACTTGTGTTTCCTTTGATTTCTTGTGAAATTTGCATTACTACTGATCAAAATTAATGATTACTTTTCTTTCTATTATTTTTATTGTTTTAAAAATAACTCTTGCTTTTTGCACTCTTATTCATTCGCTTTCTGCACTCTATTCATTTACTTTCCACCGAGTTCATTTGAACTTATCTTTTCTTTTCTATAGGATCCGACTTACAGTACTGGTAAATTTGGTGAAATTAAGGAACTTATTTTAGGAATGTTAGACACTTACACATATGAATCGGTGAGTATTTTTTTCTCTGGGTCAACTCATTGTTATGTATAATTCTGCTGCAACCACATTGTCAGATTGAAAAAAAATATCAGGAAGTTGCGTGCTTCAAAGCCGAAAGACACCATCTGACTGGTTGCACTTACACTGTCATATATATATATATATGCAAAAAATCAGAAATTTACGTGCTTCAAAGCCGGAAGAAAACCATCGAGTTCGTGTGACTGCTCCTAGCGACAAAAATTTATGTAATAGAGACATAGATTTCGAAATTTTCTCATGTCACGCGAGGTGAATAGTCGTTGTGTCATATCACTTCGTGAGCTTTGACCTTTAACCATTTTCTTTTTTTCATCTTCAGACTCTTTTAAAAACAACCAACAAATTACTCTCTGGGGATCTTCACTCCTCTCTCAGCCATCTTAAAAATCAGAGTAACCATGGAATGACACCCAAGTCGTCAAGGTGTTGTATCTGTCATAGGCTCTATACTGATGATACTGCAAGTGGTCAACGGGATGATCTTTTGATATACAGGTGAGGAAGTGAACTCGGCGTCAGCCACTCATCATTAAAGTTATATCTATTTTTAAAAACTATGTAGATCATCTTGTGAAACTGAATTAGCTTGAAAGCGAGGCAGAACTGCTGAAAAAAGACCGGTATGAACGTCTCTTTTGATTAACAGTTCACTTCAAGGTTTTTTTTTCTTTTGGTCTTTTGTTTTGGTAGTATATTTGTTTTGTCATGTTTACTTTTGTGTATGATCGATTTGACAGCTTTTTATTGAAGCTGGGTTGCAACATGTATCTGACGTCTAAAAATTTACTTGACCAGTACGATATCGCATTGGCAGCAAGATCTTAACCTAGTCAATCGGGCTGATATTTCCTCTACTTCGGATGTGCTAGTGCGCAATTTACTATCGATCCAGCAGTCGGATTTTGTGCCATGTGATATTTGTACGCAATAAGTCCTATGTGACATAGGACTTATTGCGTACAACTTACTCCCCTGTTTTTCTAAATTAAGGACGATATCATAAAAATACCTCACTGACCCCACATTGCCAGTTTATTTTATGAAATTTTGCTTTGAAATCTAAATTCCTCAAGTAAACTCGTTGTGTTACACGTTACGACATTTGAAGTGCATTATGGGATACTATTCTTAGGATCACGCTCTAAAGTTAGTTATAACTGTAACCTTCAAGTCATGGCAGCAGTTATACAAATTAAGGTTACAAAGACCTTCTCTTTTCAATGACGCAGATCTCCTCTAACAAGAAACTCGCTCTCTAATACATAGATATTTTTACTGTATGTTGCGTGATAGAAAGTTTCGTTGCATTGCGTTACACTAATCAGTATCCAGCCGCCCAGCTACTCTTCCTTGGGTCCGATTTGCCAGTCAATGTCCCATCTTTGTTCCTTGCCACAGCCTGGACCACTGCGTAAAAGCTCTTGGCCTCTACTTTATGCCCAAGCTTCTTTAATCCTTCTTGGATCGGCAGAGGCATGGGGTAATCTTCGTCGATACGAATATACATCGGTTGTAACTGATGGTGGAGCCTGGGATCGACAACGGCTTGAGGGAGGGTTCGGCCAAACCAGAGATAATTCATTGTAACCTATAGAGTAAATAAAAATAACAAACAATGAATTATCGGAAAGCAAGATCAAGGAATGTACCTGTAAACCTCTTATTATTATGAAGAACCAAGTTGCTGGTGTCCGTTTTTGATTCCTTCGCAACTCAACTCTGCAATTTTTCGAACCTAGACTCTCAATATATATATATATATATATATATATATATATATATATATACATACATATATATATTTCTGGTGCATGACAAGACGCTCTCGACAATGCGTATTCTAGCAGAATGCAAAATGCTCGTCACACAAGAACCTTGTGAATCTCGCCAACGGGCTCTTCATGGCTCGATCAACTGTGGAGTCGAAACTGAGGCAACTCGCGAACAACTTTATTTTTTTACTCTTTTACCACTTTCGTGAATTATGATTGCCATCTGCCGTAAAAACTTTTAGTTTCGATATTTTTCTGTGTTTGCCTGATTAACTGAGCCGCAAAATAATTTCGAGATTTTCCGCTGTCTTACCAGGGAAACTGCAGTTGTTATTTTCGTTCCACCAGACGCACCAAGAACCAAACGTGCCACTCCGCTTTTATCCACAAATATAGAGGGTGTGGTGGAGGATTGAGGTCTTTTCCCTGGTACGATCATATTTGATTCTGATGGTAAAACACCGAACGCGTTTTCTCTCCCTGGAGTCGAAAAGTCGTCCATTTCGTTGTTGTAAATGATTCCAGTACGAGTCGATCGATATTTCGATCCATAGCTAAAAGAACAATGATGAAATTCAATTTACTATGCTTAGAGATTCAAAGGCGCGAAACAGAAACAGAAAAAGACAAAACAAAACAAACAAACAATCAAACAAAACAGCAAAAAAAAAAAAGACAGAGTATAGCGAGATGCACAAAGTTCGACGCATGGTATTTTATATTTTCTGTCAACCTTCACATTTCACACGTCACATTTCGCACTTCAAATTTTACACTTCAAATGTTCCTTGAGTATTCACGTTTCTGTTTTATGCGTGATATGTGGACAGCTCGGTAGTAAACGAAAGTTGCCAAGTGAAATAACCCTTATGTACACCAAATGACCTACTTCAGATTGATCGTTGTAGTTGCTGAAACAGCGTCGCCATTTTCTGCAATAACAGACAAGTGTGAAGTCCCCTGATCGTTGGATTTTTGATAGAAGTCACCGTAGTGTGTGTAATTTGTGAATGTGCGGTCGTCCCGGATCCTCTGACGTAGAGATTCTGCAAACGTCTCGTTTGTCATTTCCTTGAGAACCTACAATGCAAGATATTGAAAAATGTTTTCCATCTTTTTCTCTTATTCTTAGACTTTTATCTCCTAAGATCTGATTACATGTAGTGTTTTCCTTTATAGCGCTTTACTTGCCCATGTTTCAGGGGAAATTAATCCTGCATCAAGATAACGCGTTAGCAACTCAGTTTCATCACCTGTTCACGGGGTTATATTTTAACATACTAAGGAGAGGTTACGTTATGATTACCTGTTAGAGCTCATAGGTTAACTAACACCATAGCAGATAACACAGTTTGAATTTTCACTTCTTTTGCGCAAGGGGACGAGCAGCTTTTTTACACGGTTTCCTCTTACTGAGAAGTTGTACTCCTGTATTTAGAAAGGCGCTGAGTGTACAGTATTTCCGGCCACACAACTCAAAGCTCAGAGACGTATATTAACAGAGGTCAAAACATGACAAGGCATTCTTTGGGTGACTTAAGTCTAATTATTCCTTTAGTATAGCCGTTTTCGTATCTAAGGGAGAGTGCTAGAAAGAAGATAACACAAGGGATCACTCACTGCGATTAGAAGAGCATAACCTCCGCAGGCATCTAGGCTGACATTTTTAGGCTCAACCTATCCGTTCATACGATATTTTAATCCATGACGACTTCGTGTAACGGACCAATAGCAAGTTAAGAGACACGATTTTGATCGAAGTTATGGGATTACCTGTGTTACATTTGCAAAGTCCTGGTCTCCCAACAAAGCTCTGTACGCATACGCAAACTTAAAAGCCTCTACAATCCTGTGGTACGTCAAGACCGAATTCTTTGTTCCATTCCGATCTGATGGCTTCATGTTGTATCCTTAAGGATATAAGGTGGCAAAACTAAGTGGGTGGCTTGATTTATATAGAGGTATCAGTAGTTTCAATGGTGAGAAAGTCTACCTCGTGAACGGTTGTAGGTGTGGTCCAGAGAGACCAGAGTTATGTTGCAAATCATGTGAAACAAGAGTGTCTTGCATACATAAATTCCGGATCAATATCATTATCTGGGCAACTGCCCACCTACCTCTCCCCTAACCCAATAACAGTCAATTAATAACAAGTTAGGGTGAATGTTGGGTTAGGGGAGGGGTAGGTGGGCTGTTGCCCGGATACTGATATTGATCCTAAATGGATTAAATTCCTATATTTTTTAACTACCCCTGCCTCGGAAAGAATCTAGCAAACATGTGTTTTAACAAACAAGCAAGACACGACCAAACAAACGAATGAAGAAGCACAAGTTATTAACGACTCTCCTTCCCCGTTTATACATATTACATTCCAACATGCAATCTCAAAATTAACTTTATTTTCGAGGGATCTGTCTTTAAGTTGAAAAATTTATGTGAAGAAATTAATTTTAACTGTGTCTTTCCTCATACCACAAAGGAGAAGGGGGGTCAATTGTTCCTTTAGAGCCCACCTCCCTATCGGCAAGGCCCTCGTTGTGTTTTCCTACCTTTCAAAATATTCAGGATAAGACTCAGCACCGCACCACTTCCGGGGGGAGGGGTCGAGTACCAGTTGTACTTCCCCAGAGTTCCTTGTATGGGTGTCTTGAATTTTGCCTTGTATTTCTTTAAATCTTCCAAGGTAAAAATACCACCGCCGTCCTTGACGTCCTTTACAATGTCCTCGGCCAGTTTTCCGTTGTAAAAATCATCAGGTTTGTCACGAATTTTCTCCAGTGTTTTCGCATACTTGGGCATGTACAGGGTCTCGCCTAGCTGCTTTAATTCGCCTTTCTTGTTGAAGAGAAGTTCCCTTTAAGTTAAAAGTAGCAGTTTTTAATGATATGGGGATTAAGAAAAAAGGAGAAAAATATATTACTTGTCATTCAATTGAAGTTTCATTGTCACCCTCCGTGCAGACATAGTTATCTTTGAAGCAAAGCGAGTAGATAAATAAATCTACCGTAGAGAGCAGACTTATTACTTTGTGTTACCTGCAGGAAATATCATATCTCTTCTTTTTTTCTTATAATTAATTAAAACAGTCATAGCTTACGAAATCTGACTTAGAAAGAGTTGACACTCATTTACACTGCCAAGAAAAATTATCAGGCGAAAACCTTTTTCGGGGAACTTGTGTGTGTGAATAGTACATGCACAAGCGCGCGTTGTGAAGAATACTTTGAAGTGTAAAATTCAATCCTAAAGCCGATTATCTACACATTTTTACAAACCTCAAGCCGGGATCTTTTTTAAGAAGAGGCTTGACAGTTGACCTTGCGGCCGCCTTGTAAGCAGCATAACCAAATGGAAATCCTTTTTTGGCCATGTCAATGGAAGGCTGCACCAGTTCCCTCCAGGGAAGTTTGCCATACTTTTTCCAGCCTTCGTAAAAACCTTTCACCTCGCCGGGCACCCCAGATGCTTTGGGACCTAACCAGTTTGTATGGTGATTTAGAAAAAGTATATTTATAATAAAAATAACAAGATAAAAGTCAGACGTCAAATAAGATGAAGTGTCGTCGGGAAATAATTACATGTAATTAACCACTTTGAACTGATTCGATTTTATCTGGTTATTTTACACTCTCGCAACTACTTGACCTTCGAGATCGGAACGTAGTAGGCAGAGTCCGTGATAGGAAGTTAAGGTTGTTATACATGTGATATGAATTGATCGAACCCATATACCTGAATATAGACCGACAAGCACATGAATACTGTATTGATTATGGTGAAATTAGAACTCCCAAGGACTGACTTCTGGAATTCCATTTCCAATTACACACTGTTTCCATGATGGAACTCTGTTTCCAGTGAAATTTTATTTCGTAGCTCGAAGAGAGGAAAATTACTCTCCAAAATGAATTAAGATACGTTTCATTAGTACCTTTTGTTGTAATAATAATTGGATAGAGAGTTTTAATGTTTTGGAGGATCCATCATTTGTCAAGTATATTTCGACACGGGACTGATTTGACTTTCCGAGTGGATCATTCTGGTCACGAAAATTCGGTTTTAATCATGTAAAACTAAAACGCACCTAATTTGGAGCTCATCGTTTCATTAACATACATGTTTCTGTTGGCCTTCCCTGGGGCTTCTTCGCGAAAGTCTATGACCTCCACAAATTTATTGCTCTTGTTGTACACAACCAGGAAGCCGCCTCCCCCGATACCGGCCGAATGCATGTTGTAAACCCCAATACAGAACAAGGTAGCGATGGAAGCATCCATGGCTGATCCATTTTTCTTTAGAATGTCACGGCCTATCTCTGAGCATAGGCCAGCGTCTGACGCAACAACCGCGTGTTTATAGGGGCCATCCGCTCCTGGTGGACCAGTTGGTGGAGGAGGAATCCCCACGCTCTTGGTGGGGATTGGTTCCTCTTTGTAAGTCGTCCAGACAATCGGGAATATAATTATAAATAGCAGCAAGAATGCAACGGTTATCGTAATGCAAATGATGCCGTTGAGTCTGCGGAAAAAAACGAATGAAATAATTACTTTAGTGTGATTTACACATTTGTTGTTTTATTATCGATCTATGAGGCTATGTCACCTTTGTTTGACTCTGCAGTGGTCTGTACCGGAAGTGTAACAATATCCTTAATAGGTACATGCTATCGGCACATGCCCTGGAAACAGGTTCAGACTATTGTAGGATGGGCTATCGTGTTCTTTACCGCATAAATCTCCGAACAACTTATCCAAGTGATAACCGAAAAATTACGCGTTTCATAACAAATTTTAAAAAATTTAAAAACTAAAATTTTAGCTACAAATCCAGCCCTGTGTCTATGTGGCTCGGTCGAAAAAATATTAATTGGTAATGTTTTGGGATCATCCTTTCTTGAAACAGGATTTACAGGTCGTGTTTTTGCTGCTTGAAGTTATTATATCTATTGTATGAATATAGCATCCAATTAACAAATCTTAGGAATTAGTTACAATTGAACACTGCTTTTTGTCCGTTAGAGGATTTTAACATTTGTGAGGCTCTTGTACGGATATTACGAGTCTTTTGAATCTCTGGCTTGAATCAGTGTATTTTCAACCCTCGATAGTAGATAATGCCGTAATGTTTATTAAGCTTGAATTGTTTCAGGAAGTATTTCTGTATACAGCTATCTGCAGAAGGTTGTCGGAAAAAGGACAAAGGTTACCTGTGTATTGGGTAATCAATGTTCTTTAATAGGTGAACATATAAATATGGACAAAAGGACTAGTGAACGGGGAATGAATACCGGCATGTACGTGAATACAAGAAGGAAAAATAATGGAACATTACGTTGTGAAATTTTTTTCCTTGGGTCACTTCGAATGAGCTCTTTTTGAAATTACATAATTTTGGCCGCTCATCTTTAGTTTTTCAGTAAGGTTAGAATTAAAATTCAGTCTTGCGAACAAAATGATTTCATCAAACCCGCTGTGTCCTCTACAGTGATGTCTTCTACTATTTCCCTGAAATGTGGAAGTCAAGGAGTCGTTTTTCCTCGCTCTTCTTTAGTTTTTCATCAAGTTTAGAATTAAAATTCAGTCTTGCGAACAAAATTATGTCATCAAACCCGCTATGTTCTTTAGAGTGATGTCTTCTAACATTTCTCTGAACTAAAAACTACCCATAATGCCTCTCAGGGTTGTTGCGTTTTTTTTTTTTGTTTGTTTGTTTTGTCGACAACCTTTATGCAAACAGCTGTTTCCTCTTCGTGTTCTGAAACAAAGCGTCAGTCCAGTCCCAAAGGTAATTTGTTGTTAAGATTGTTTTTTAGGCCATTGTTTTCTCCTTTTAAAGAACTCTATGCATAATGTTGGATTATATGAAAATCTTGCCCAGTTACATTCAAGTAGAACACCTATCGATAAAATCACGAACAAGCGAATACCTTGATCACTACATGGATTAGTTAAAAGTGCGTTCCAAATGCTTAACCCAGTGAGCAGTAAGATTTTAAGTAAAAAGTAAATATTGCTAATTAGTTGTTTACATACCGACTTAAAAAAAGCATGCTGACTTGCACCCATTGTTTGTCTCAATACGTTGTTAAGAAGCAGCGAATGTTACGAACCAGCTGAAGTGACCTAACTAGTAACAAAACGAGACCATCTCTATTCAGACGTCGCTTAAAAATGACAAAGTTTCGATGAATCATTTTCATCGTTAAACTCTATGCTTTGATGTTGCATAATCACTTGCTGTAACAAATAAAGCGACCAACGCATTGCAGTGCATCGAGCACGTCGACCTCTGCCCTTTTATCCATACATTTAGAAATCTCTCGAATTAGCTATCAACAGCAAGCTTTATGGACATCTTTCTCGAAAAAACTATTGACTCTGTGACTCAGTGAAATTATTAAACCTGACTATACTTCGGCTCGAACCGGAGCCGACGATCTTGTTTTGAAATAGCGGAAGGGACTACCGTGCAATACAAAAGGATTTCCTACGCACCCAGATGTTATTTTCGCTAAGCTTTACCAATAGATACGTGTTATTCATAGTCAGCAGGTTCATTTTTCCATCCTCCTTTCGTATCTAATCGCACAGATTTCAAGATAGCGACTCTAAAACTCTGGTTCACGCGTTGGGCGATGATAGTTCTCATTTCTTCTACGTGGTGTGGTTTTGAATGCTCAGTTTCTTAAAAAGGAACTTATCAACTTTTGTGTCAATCGGCGCCTTTTTGCGACCAAATGGACTGAATAGTAAAAATTATTAAACCTGACTGTACTTCGGCTCGAACCAAAGCCGGCGATCTTGTTTGGAAATAGCGGGCGGGACTACCGTGCACTACAAACGGTTTGTCTTCTCACCCAGCTGTTATTTTCGCTAAGCTGTAAGCTGTAGTAACAGATTCCATCGTCCTTTCCTTTCTACTCTGACAGCTTTCAAAATAGCGACTCTAAAAATCTGGTTCTCATGTTGAGCGATGATAGTTCTCATTTCTTCCACCTGGCGTGATTTTGAAAGCTCAGTTACGTTAGGAGGAACTTTTCAACTTTTGTATCGGAACCCTATTGCGACCAATCTTTGAAAGAACCGCCTTTCACCATATTGCCATTATAAATATTCCAGTAACACAGCGATCTTTTGCATAAGAACTTTAAGACGCTTTTGCAGCCGCCAAACTCGCGTGATTTGATACTCACCGTCTACGTCTCTCTGTCAGGTTACTTGAAAACGATTCTTTATATTTACCTTCCTCCATTCGGCGGCCAATTGATGTAATATCTATAGCGAAACAGTGGAAGCGAAAAACTCTACCTTAGAACTGTTCGGGAAAAAGAAGTTCGTTGAAACGACTTGTTGTGTGTTTGACTTGAAAATGAAACACAGAGGTCAGGTTAAGGACTGGCGCAAATTTAGGTCAGATTGTAAACATTTCCATCATGAAGACGTCACTCGTGTAAGGAGAGGTGCTCCAAGTTAATTAAAAAAAAAAAAAAAAAAAAAAAAAAAAAAAAAAAAGAAAGACATTAAAAAAAAAAAAAAAAAAAAAGAAAGACAGAGGCATAAGGGCTTAAAATACCTCATAGTTGCCGTTCTCGCGTTTGGGAACCAAACCTCACTCGGGAAACGAGTGAGGTGAAACTTACGAGAAAGATCTACGTGACAAAAGAATATTTTTTGAGGGTTTGAAATTTTTTGAGAACATCTTCCTTTTTTCTTGTGACATAGTGCGTAAAGTGCAAATGTTAGGCTATTGTATTAGGGTATGAGTTATTGTGGAAAACAATTTGCGTTATAACATAGCTAGTAAATTTGTCTGATCAAATTCAATTGCGCGAGCGGTGCTTCATATTCCTATTTTGCACACTCATGACGTCAGCAAACAAATCCCTCGAGAAAAATTTTCCTTTGGGTTGAAATGTTATAAAACAATTGGTTCATACGTCAGCTGTGCTTTCATCGAGATATGAAGCACTTGGGAAGTTTGGAGAGCACTCAAGAAGCTAGAGTCGCTCTCGGCTACGCTTCGAGCAACTCTTACGCATCTTTCGTGCTCTCCAAACTTCCCGCGTGCTTCATATCTCGATGAACGCACTCTGACATATGAACCAATTGTTAAATATAATTCGCTCCTTGCCGTCTTCCTTTCAGTTGTGTTTCGTAATTTCACACTGCTGTTTTTTTTTCTAATCAAAAAGAGCAGAGATGATATGTCGAGAGCTGTCTCGAGTTGACAGACTTAATCTTGCCGACAGACCATTGTCGCTGTGCGTCTCACGGAAACTGAATTAACATTTTGTTATTCTCCAGAAACACAGGACATTCGCATATTTGATATTATGGTAAATCTATCAATAACACATAACTTCCTTCTTGCAAAAAAGAGTTTTACTCTGGCTTGGCACTCAAACGAGGAATGCGTGAACAGTATTTCTAGACATTTCCTCGCTAAGCCGAGCGTGACCTTCATTAAATACCAAATGCTTAAGGATCCATTCTTTTGCACTTTTTTTTTCTTATTATTGAGCTTGATAGAACTGCTGTCTAGGGCGTCAGAATTGAAAAAAAATTCGTAAAAATATAAAGCATGTATCACGAAGTATCGCAATGTAAGTATTGAAAATTATATTTCATCCTCCGAAGCAAGGAGGAGCGAAGAACTGATGTTTGGGGGTGCGAAGGAAGAGGAGGGCTGGGAACAGGTGGTTTATTCGGTCAGATTCTTGTAGCGAAAGGGATAATCGTTGGACTTCGCCTCTTCTTATGGAACTTCAATAGACGCTTTATCTTTTTAATCTTCCAATTAGGATATGTAGGATCTTCATATGTCTGGATATCATTAAATTTTGATTTCGAATGGCAAGCTTTTGTTTATAGATGACTGGTTTAGCTCAGAGCAAGCATAACTTAATTGAATTCTGCAACGTGTAGGAGCTTTTTAGATCTTCTAAAAATATCTTTAGTTACTCTTTTGGTTTCTTCAGGTGTGGCCACGTATATCATTCAGAATGTATGGCAGGGACTACCGGAACTGAGGGAAATTGGATCTGTATGCTCTGTAATAAAACTGGGCTTTCGCGTCTTTCTTCGTGGAAAGGCAAGAGAGTTCTGGGGAAGTCAGTGAAGCCATTGTCACCCGGATCTGTGCAGGTATGTGTCATAAAAAAATTATCCTTGTTGTCTTATATAATTCGTAGGACACAGTTGAGGAGAATATAGGAAATTCTTTGTTGGCCTTATATGACTGAGTGACACTGAAGCCTTAACAGCCAAAAGATTCCCTATGGTGCAAGTACTTTTTTCTTCATCATCGACAAACTTTTACTAGCTTTATTGCAACAGTTTTAAGCAAAAAATTTTCAACCAAGCTTATTCAGTTTCATCTTTTAAGCAAAATATCTTCCCAATGGTTGACAAAATTAGTGTATAAATAACGCAACCTTTCTTTATGATTTCCTCGTGCAGAAGTTCAAAACAGAAAGTTCTGGAGCGGCAAAGAAGGAGGATCTCTCCAAGGTAAGGAGGGGTTGCTATGTTGTTGAGAAAAATTAACTTTTTTTAGCTTCCATAGGCATGGGTGAAGAGACTAGAACTGCTAAGGGAATCTTTTAAAGGTTATGATTTTTTGGTTATACGTTGCCAGTTGTCCCTTGTAACACCAACTGGATGAAATAACCTAATTCCTATTCTAGAAACAGTCGACTCTCACCCTACGGACACCTCGCTTTTACAGACAATCCACCATTGCGGCCAAGAGCCAGCCCCCCGGCGAAACGCACAAAGAAATAACAGAAACCAACTTCCGTTATTACGGACTCTCACTATAGCGGACACTTAAGTAATTCGCCTAAAATTTTGACTCTCATAATATAAAGCGACATTACGATAAATGAAAATGAAGAAACCATTCTTCAATTGGGTGTGAACAGGAGGATTTCCTTCTTGTCGCCGAATAGATTTCCGGTTCGTGAGGTCACGCTAGAAGCTTTATGTTTGCGTCGTTACACATTCTTTGAGAGCATTATTTACAACACAATTTTGTTTCTCTTGTTCCCCGCTACTACGTACTCTCGCCATTACGGACATTTAATCTTCCCCCGAGGGTGTCGGCAATGACGGGAGTCGACTTTATTTCATTTTGATTATCTTGTGTTCAATTTTTTCCTTTAGTTTTCTCTGTTTCAAAATAAAACATAGGATGTGGAAGTGGACTCTGAAACACTTCACGGTTCCTTACGTAAACTTACGTTTTATTTATCCTTCGTATGTCTCTTCCCTTGACAGACTGAAAGATCAGTGCCTTCACTTACGCAGCAACAATTCGAGGCAGTGTCTAGGCTGAAGGCACAAAACAAAGGTGTATCGCGGGTAATTAGATTGACTATTAATGTATCAGATGATCTTAAACCTTAACTACCAAAAATGAGAAAGGTCTCTTTGATCATAATCATCTTTGTCAAAAATCGGAATAATAATGCAACGATAATGGTGCATTCAGTCGTTTAACTTCTTTCGATGTAAAGTATTTATGTTTTTTTTTTCAATTTTGCTTTTGTTTTGTTAAATTGGTTGTTTGTTTCTGACTAGTTTAGAAGGTGGCGCTACTTTCGACGCTTAATTGTAAACTTTTTTCACTCATTGTCGATCTTCATACTTAACCATCCTAAGATAAGAGGATGGTTTGGGAATTCCCGGATTGATTGAATTACAGCATCGACAGGGATTGGTCGATACATTCTCAGTTTCCTGTTGAACTGTGAAATACTCTGACGAAGTCAGTTTCAGCGCACTCCATCAGAAAATTTCCCGCTCCTTTAAAGATTGATCAGACTGGAGAGATGGTGAAAACCAAGCAGGATTACTTTAAAAGAGGTGGAGAGAGACAAATGTCGGGGCCATCGAAATACTCTCGGCGCCGAATTGCGTGCCTCATCAATGTATGCCGGCATATATTTAGATTTCTGGGATTCTATGGGGAGGCTGGGGTTATGATTGATTTCTCCTTTTTAGAAGACGTTTCGGCAATCCTGGGTGAAAATACCACAGTAAAAAACTTTATGAGGACTAGGCATGAGTTTACCGCGCTTAGAACTCCAGGTCTGGTTGAGTTCCAGCTTTTTCCAATGTGGGATTGGTCGATACATTCTCCGTTTCTTAGGTGAGCGGTGAAATACTCTGACGGAGTCAGCTTCAGTGCACTCCATCAGAATATTTTGCGCTCGCTTAAAGATTGATCAGGTCGGGGAGATGGAGGAATTTTGCATGATTACTTTAAGAGAAGTAGAGAGCAAGACAAATATGGCGGGATTCTATAGGAAGGCTGTAGTTATGATTGCTTTCTTCTTTTTATTTCCTTCTATTTCAGTTGGCCATTTTATCAGAGTTATCAAGGTCAAGTGATGCTATTAGTCATACTTACGGCAGTCGATCGACTAGCTCAGGCAATATCTTTGAAGACGAACGCTTCAGACTGCATCTTGCCCCGCCACGAGATTAGAATTATTACATCAATTGGTGAGAGCTAAGTGCCCTTGTTAGCGAGACACCAAGGTGAGATGAGCTGGAAAAGTTCGGCTCGTGGACTTCTCAAGAAACGTTTGTTGGTTCCATAATTTAAGTCAACGTCACTTCGCATTGGAAATTTTCTGTTGGAGAACGGTTTTCCTCAAACCTTTGGAACTTCATTGCAAATTATCTCTATCAACTTACCTACGTCCTCTTTGTCAAAAGTCGCCTCATTCAATAACTGGCGTATTCAGTTTTGGACAAGTTGACTTGTCAAGGGAAAAATTGTGAATGAAAACATGCTGGTGTAAAGGCTGCATTGTGGTGATGAATTGATGCTAGTTTTCTTGTAAAGCCTTCAAGTTCAGTTGTTAATGAAATTGTATACTTTATTGCCATGACTATGCATTATCAGCCATGTAAGTCATGGGACTATTGATTTAAGTTTTTCTGGGAGACATACTTTAAGGAATGCACGTACTTGGATGAAGTATTCATATAGAAGCGTTAAGAATGAGTTGAACTAATGCTGCTATACGTAGCATTATTACAGAACCCTGCTTAATTCAGTCAAGCGTGCTTGTAAAATATATGTTTTCTTTGGATTTGAGTACCGGTCGTTTCGCACCCAGCTAGGTCGATTCGTACCCAGTTAGTCGGGTCGTTTCGTACCCATACAAATAAAGTATGTTTTCCATGTTAGGAATGTTTTAAGTAAGAATGGAAAAGACAAAAAAACGAGAATCAACGAATTTGTTATCGTTAATAACAGAGGGAGAAAAAAATTCACATTCACAATGTCTGCATGTTATTATTAAGAAAATGGTAAGTGTAAACAAGAGACTGATCTATTAAAAAAAAAATATATATATATATGTATATGTCAGAGTTACCTTGCACTAGGTAACAATTCGTTGTTTTCAGTTAATTAGGAGGTCAAGGACAGAATTCTGGTTGTATCTTGCTCGCATGATTTTACCAACTTGTCGTGTATAACAATCACCATTTATTCACGCGATCGCGCTTGAGGTATTTCAAATGAAAGTATATATAGAATGGGTACGAATCGACTCAAACTCGGTACGAATCGACTGAATGTGGTTGCGAAACGACCGTGGGTACGAAACGACTGGATGGCCTGGATTTAAGTCACGAACTTGGCCTAAAATGTCCTTTTACGCGAGCAAGGAAATTTTTAAAATTGAGATCAGCACAAGGCCTTTTTCAAACGCTTTTAATAGATAGTTTCAAGAAGTCTTTGGAAGTTAATGCCAAAATTTATATTATTATTCATAAAAAAGCATTCATGCGCGTAACGAAAATATTTTTATCTAAGGAAATTGTTGATGTTGCAATATATTTTGAAAATTAAGAAATGTAAGTAGAAAGGGAAGATTCTTTGTGCGTTCACTTTTACAATATAATTTACAAGAATTTCGCTTTGATGCTGCTTTGAAAAAGCGGATTGTACCAAATTATTTATAATAAAATGAATGCAAGCTTACCTTTTATATTTGTTCGCGATTCTTTTTTTTCCCCCTAATATTACGCGAGAGCTTTAAGCGGAATGAGATTGTTAAACTTTGCTATTGGTAGGAGAGTCTCGTTGCAAAAATTCCGTTCTCTTGGGACTGATGAACTAAAATGTTTTAACTCTGATACATCGACAAGCACAACTTACTCCTCTGCTTCGTTCGTACGCACGTAGATCCCAAGAAAAGTCACGGGCACTGGAAATTTAGATTCAGTTGATGGTGTAGCCCGATTAAGTCGAGCTACATCCGGGTTCTCATGGCTTTCATAGTGTGGAGAGAGAGAGAGACTGGCTAGAAAAGGTGGAAACGATGAGACATGTGGAGGAGATAGGGTTTTTCGTGCGCACAACCAGAAGAAGGAAGAAAAATAATAGATTGAAAGCTGCTTTTAAATCTTGGCTATTATCATTGTCATTATTAATATCATCACAATTCATCCCAGTACTTGATTCCTACGCGCAAGTCGTTTGTAGTCTCTCCAACATCGACAAACAGACGGCAGGTGAACAAACATTCCAGTATTCTCAAATTTAGTGCCGGTTTGAGCGCTTTGCGATTGGTTGGCGAGAATGACATGCAGCAGGAGAGTGTTCAATAATTCACAGTTAGTTTATTAGAATTTTCCCGCTTAACTGGGAAAATACAACCAAAATTTGTAGTCGAATTCAGCCCTTTTACTAGCTTCTGGTTAGCGGTTGAGGTCCGTAGCCGTTGATTTTAAATGCTGATCATGGTGTGTAAAAGACCCGGTAGAGACGCGAAAATATCTTTGGTAAGAGGCAAATTTTCGTCTTTTGAATTTAACACCACATTATGGTGACAAAGTTGTTTAAATCACTAAATTCGGAAGTGAATTAACTTTTGTGTGATCTTTTCTTCAGCTCTTCAGACTGGTGGTTTTACTCAGAGCCGGAGCTCATGAGTACGTCCAAACTCCAAAAGGTAATTTTATTCTGCAGAAAATGAATATAATAAAATAAAGATAAACTTTATGCAGAACTGCAGTTTGTTGTTTTCCAGAAACAAAATGCAAAGACATCTGTTTGAATATATTTATTTCATTTTACTTTAGTAATTTTTTTTTAAAATGTGAATACGTTTTTATAAAGTTATTTTGACTTTTGAAATTAACAATTTTTAGCTATTTGCCCTACGCTAACGGTTGTTATTTACTTATCCTCTTTGAAATATTTCACACACAGTTACTCAATACCTTGCTGTGAGTTTGTTGACACTTCAAATACGAGATTCTTCTATTGAGGAATAAGAAATTTCAAAAATTACTTTCGGCAATTAATTTGAATTACCTGCAATGTTTAACGCCTCGTGGTTAAGTGACGATTTACAAATTTTAAAACCTATCTATTTTGTTCGAACTGAGTTCGCGTTCTATCTAGGCAATTTAAAGCTGTAAAAATTTAATGAGAAGCTTCAGACAAGACGAGACCACAGCTAATTGTGGTCCGTATAGCTTTAAACTAATGGTTGAAGTGTTGTAATTTGATCGCGTTATATGAAGGACTTATAAATGACGTTTTCCTAAATGTGTTAAAAAGATTCTTATAAGAAACAACTAATTTATAACAATGTCTGCTTTGTTTAAGAAATCGTTTCTCATCAATGTCTTCTATGCTTCTGAAAATTGAGACTGTTAATACATATTTTGTAATTTTGCTTTTCTTTATTCGCAGAATTATTACATTGCTTCTCTTAAAATTGGACTTCTCTGTCGTAATTTACTACATTACACATATAACGTGTCTGACACAAACTGGTTTCAATTCCATTTATTGACATCTGAGCTCTCTTTTCATTTACTTTGCATCTTAATGAGAAGAAATTTTTTTAATCCCTTTTCTGAGTTTTCTGGGATTTTTTGCCGTGAAACAAAAATAGCTGCAATTTTTATTGAAGTGATTTGTTTCTTAGGATGACAGTAGCATATTTTTTATCTTTTCATTTCGTTCGTTAGAATGTACAGAGGAAATTTCACTCAAGGGCAAGAACGGAAGCTTTACCAGTCCAGGTGGCTACCAAGGTTACCCTAACAACACTGTGTGCAGGTGCAATCTCTAGTTCAAGTTAAACAAGAAAAAGATAAAATACAAAAATAGAATATGGCAAAGAAACGCAACTTGCTAAGAACCACGTCATAATCTCGGTCCGCGAGACTTGGATGATTTTCTTTAATCAAGAAAGAAAGCGATACAACTTGATATTCCCTGACAAAAGGCCAATAAAATTTTAAATACGTAATTGCCAAGGTACATTCCACTGATGACTGTTGTCACCCAAATCCCACCTAAGATCAAGGAACTGTGAATTTGACATGATACAGACGCATTTCTTATTATTTTAACCTTTTGATTCTGAAGGTCTGATAGTTAGTTTTCCCTTCTAACTGTTAAGCATTTCCTTCTAAATCAGTTAATGGAATTTAGTGTCTTAGCTCAAGATAACAACCTCTCATCGATAAGTTTGAGTGTTCTCATAAACTTTTTGCTGGATGGTGTATGAATACCATAGGGTGAAGTAGCATGTAAATCACTTCTGGGAGTTAAAAGGCTTAAACGAAATCTGTAACAAACCTTTTTACTGTTTACATTCAGATGGTCTATTACAGCCACATACGATGCCGAAATTCGAATTACCTTCCACGACTTTGACTTGGAATGGAGCAAGACATGTATCCTGTATGATTACGTCACGGTGTCCGAAAAGTGTCTTTCCTCGAAAACCTGGTCGAGTAACCTAGGATCTGGGGATAACGTGGATGGATTTTGCGGAAACATGATGACATTCAATGTTAAAGCAAGCTGTGGTAAAGTGTTGATAGAATTTAAATCTGATGATTCTATAACAGGAAAAGGATTCAACGCTACCTATGAAGTTATTCCGCATCCAAGTAAGTGGTATCCTTCCACCTCTCCCCCCCTCACCATCATTCTCTATTTTCCAACCGTATGTATACGTAGTAATATTTTTGAGAAGTGGTCTAGGTTTAAGGTGACGATGAGGCAGGAAGGAGCGGAGGAGATTTATTTCGAGTTAAAAATGTTACAAGTTTGTATGACTTTCGCCTCCTGGATTTTAGGCTAATTATCTTACAGCTTTCTAGCTTAGAAATTTTCGTTGCTTGGAAAAACCTTTCACTTACTCCCTGACCTCTTTTTCTTTTGTCCTTTCTCTTTTTCTTTCTATATTTCTTTCTTTCTTCCTCCCATCCTCCCATTCTCTGTCTTCCTATCTCAATCCTAATTTTTCTTTATAATTTAATTGTATAATGTAATTGTTTATCTACTTTTCACAGAAAAACCTGAAATTGTATCATTTTGTCCAGCTGGAACTAGTACTTGTTCATCAAGAAAAGTATTTACAGAATCTGAAGACGGAAATATCCCATGCCAAGTTGCAGGATCTGTGGACATGCAAACCTGGTCTTATCTCGGTTCTGACCCTGAAAATCTAAATGGATCATTCGACGGACTTCGTATGTTCACCGACGAAGAGGGAGGGCTCTTCATCAAGAACCTTAAGCGAAGTGATACAGGATTTTATAAGTGCTATGTAGAGAACTCCCTGGGAAATCACAGTGCAGTGGTGTACCTGCATGTGAAAGGTGAGTGTCGTTAACGATTTGTTTTTTTGAACTTACAAACCCTCTCCTCTTGTAAGCCTGTACAGGCTAACCTCCATTATAGTACGCATCTCTACAACGGTCAATTTGTTTTTGTTTAAATTCCGTCATGATTTTCATATATACATTTATTTCAAGGTGAATTCGAAGCAAAAAGCGTTTCGCAGTTTTTCTTTTTTTTATTATCAGTTATGGAGAAAATAACTTGTAAGCACCTAAGGGAGATCTAATTTGTTTTCTCTGTTTTTTTTTTCCTGTTTTTGTTCCACAGAGAAATGTAACTGTCCCAAAAAGATCTTTGCCAATTGGTACAACATTCCGCCATACATCAAATATAATGGACCAGGACAGAATCCAACCGGATTATTTCCGCATTTCCTCCCACAATTGTTTTCTCACTGCTGTGGAAACTGTTCTGAAGGTGACGGGCCGTCAGAGATCATCTATGATGTTAAATTCCAAGAAAACCTGGTGGCCATCAAGGATATAAGCAACCTTGAGAGCGTTGATACCATCACGTTTCCTATCAGTGGGAACAAGGATAACCCCTCTTATAAGAATGAGTTTAAATTCTTGCCGCTTATAAGCTCACCGGGAGTGGCTTTTATCGTTGTTGAAGAACCACCTGGTACTTCTGCTAAAGCTGTGTTTGACTCGGTCGTGTCGGGGTGGCCTGTGCTTGTACTCACCATTTTGATGGCCTTGTTGTCTGGGATAGTTATGTGGGCACTGGTAAGTAATTTTTTTCTGGCCGAAAATGTCATATTGTTATACTATGAGGATTGACTTTTGTAACCTTCTTTCAATCTATTATAAAGGATACTAGGTACAATCCTGAAGAATTTCCGAGGTCGTTTATCAAGGGGAGCGGAGAAGGTTTCTGGTGGGCTTTTGTCACAATGACAACTGTGGGGTAAGAACTTTTCACAGTTCAAGTAAACATATTTAGTAATAGTAATGGAACCGAGAGAAGTCAAAGTCGGTCTGTAATCACACGAGTGATTAACAAAATCGGACGAGCACGAAGCGGGAGTCCGATTGTTAATCACGAGTATGATTAGAGACAGAACTGAACGATACAAGTCCTGTCACCATTTAATCATAACCATTTCAATTTCCGAAAAAAAATACACCTAGAACAAATATCTTCAGTGGAGACAAAGTCTTCTGTTAAAAATTCCTCCATTTTGGAAATTCCCGGGCCAGTTTTTCTTTGGAAGAATGGTTGTTGCTATGGTTCTCGTGATCATTTCTGTGATTGGTGGCTTAGCTGAGTAGACTTGTAT